TCATATACCAAATTCCCACAGATTATTGGTGCAGAGTATCTCTTCAGTACCAAATAAAGTCACTTCAAATTAATACTATTATTATTATTATATATATTATTATTATTATTATTATTATTATAGTATTAGACAAGAGGCGGTGACCAGAGCCCTGCTGCAGTGCAGCATGCATGCATGGAGCGGCAATACTGGTGCAGTGCTGTTGCGAGCCCTAATGCCTGCTGTCTCCGGCCAGACCACCGCTGACCACTCGCTTCAGTCAGAGAGCGCGTGTGGAGCGGCCCGGCCACAGACCAAGGGGTGCAGCAAGCTGAAGAGGTGCCAAGGCCGGCGCCCCACAGACAGGCCTGGTCCGTGCCACCGGTGCTCGAGTCTGAGCTGAAAACTGCATCAGCTCCCCAGCGGCTTCGCAGGAAAAGGCGCCGCCTTGGACGAGGCAGCCTGAAGCCTGTTATTAGTTTTACAAGCTTTAGGACACAAGACAGACATGGCAGAAACTGATGCACAGGAAGTTCCAGCTGAACATGAGGAAGGACTTATTTACTGTGTGGGTGACAGAGCACTGGAACAGGTTGTCCAGAGAGGGTGTGGAGTGTCCTTCACTGGAGATACTCAGGAATGATCTGGACACAATCCTGTGCCATGTGCTGTGGGACGACCCTGCCTGAGCAGGGAGGCTGGAGCAGATGACCCACTGCCGTCCCTTCCGACCTGACCTATTCTGTGAGGGCTTTGGGGGTGTTTGGGCTTGGGGAAACCCATCCCTCAACACCTCTGCCTCTGCAGAGCCCTTGGTGGGGCACTGTGCCAGCCAGCTGGTGGCTGGGAGCCAGACAGTGGGATGTGCATGTTCACTGGCCCCACACTCCCTGGGCAACCACAGAAGTCTCAGCTCCCCAGGAACTGTGCATATTGGGCACCTTGGAAAGCATGAAGTGCTGGTCCCAGCTATGCCATAACCTGGTGCATTGGCTGAGAGCAAGCACATGCCCTCTTGAGGGTGCTGTCCAAATGTCATTGCCTAAGACAGCTTTTTATTTGCTTAAATCAAGATATTTCATGCTTAAGAACTCGAGAGCTAGACTGAAGAAGACAAGGATACCTCATCAGTAGTCCAGATGTAGCATGGACATTCTTCACAAGTACCTCTGGAAACTAGGTCACATCAAAAGCAGCAGTTCAACTCTGAAGCATATTTAAGAACAATACAATCCAGAGCAAGTGGCTGTAGATGAAAAAAAATCTGGTTTTCTAAATTTGGAGTCTGTTTCCTAGCACCTGATTCAAAGAATATATTTGCCTTCCCCCACCTCCTGTTACTGAACAGTCTCCTCTTGACTAATTTTGACTCAATTTCATTATCTCTGTGGACGATACTTTCCCAAATGTCATCTGCATCTTACGCAGTGAAAGATCTCATCTGGAGTAAATTAGTCACTGCATGCAACAGAAAGAAGACCTGGTGTTGGTGTGGATGAAAACAGTGGCCAGATGTCCCTGCTGTTACTGCTGTCTTGGGAGGGGAGACCTCAGGCTTGAGGTCTATTGAGTCCTGTATGTTTCATGAGAATGTCAATGTCAATGAGAATCTCCTGCAAAAATGAGAGAGCAGAGGCTTGGTTTGTAGGGGCATTATGATGCCCAGATATTTTTTGCAAAGTGCATGGGCAGGTACATTAGAGTGCTATAAGGAAGGATCTTACAGCATGATAGATGAGGCAAGCTTAAGGTACCAGAAAAACCCAAGGTGTGATTTTGATATTTTCAACAGGAAGAGTATTAGTTCCATGGTATTATTCATGTAGTAGCTATAGGGTAATTGTATTTCATAAGCCTGTATGCACTTGCATGATAGAAGGCTTAAGATAAGATTTTACATCAAAGTCACAGAGACTTAGGCTTCATTTTGAAGTGCCTTAATTCTAATAAAACTTGGAATTAATTTAGAGTGCAGTTATGGCACAATGTAAATAATATATTGTACAAATGATGCTCTACCTATTAGAAATCTTGAATTTCTTTAATTCCTTGAGTTCTTGAATTCTGGAGTTCTTAAATGTTTTGCCTTTTTGGCAGCTTCTCTGACTGCTAGCAGTGGACTTGCAAGGCAATTTCACTTCCTAGTCTGCAAATTGCTCTGTGTCCTGTTGGTTTTATTTAAAAGTCTGCCTTGTGGGTTATGGTGGTATTGGAAACAGGGGATTATGATTTCTTAATGCAATTACACTGGAGCTGAAGCAAAGCCACAAAGGAGAATGAACTTTTATTCAAACATCTGTCAGATGTGACAGAGACCAGGAGAGTTGAAATTAAGATTGAATTATTTGCTGTGATGTTTTGTTACCAGTGCATTCTTGAATTACATTGAAAAAAACAATCTGGACAACAGGATGATGAAGGCACATCTCTTTTCCCTTCTGTCACCCCATGAATGAGTTTAGGAAATTTAGGACAGAACTTTTCATTTCAATATATTTTTCCATGAGAGGATCACATGTTAGCTGCTCCTTTTTTTTTCTTTTTTTTTTTCTTTTTTATTTCAGAGTACTTTGTTCTTGAGTCTCCCACTGTTCTGTTTTTGATAATACCAAACCAACATTTGCCCACATATGTGGTGCCCTCATAATTCCAAAATATTTTTGTGCATTGGGATACAGTGATCTGAGATCACTAGTGGTGAGCAATGGGAGGATTCAACATCAAGGTTGAATGAAGCACATTCAGGAGCTGGCAAAGCCTTCATGCAGAAAACTAGCTCAAAACTTCATTACTGGCAGGACAAGTCTGTTATAAGGATGGAGGGAGTAGAATAAATAAAAAATCAGGATTAAAAAAAACTTACTGTGTTTGCTTCCAAAGAAAAAAGTGTTTCACCCCTTTCTCTAGGATGCAGCTAGCTCCAGCTTCTCAGTGTTGACCAGGTATTTCAGTTCCATACTGCTTATTTAAATTCAACTTAAATGCAAGCTGAAAACAGAAGTTAAGAGATGATTTTTCTGCTGACCTGTGGCTGATAGTGCTTTATTCCTGTGAGTGGTGGCTGCAAGTGGCTCCTTGGAGCATGCGTCCAAAGAGTTTGCCTTCCTGTTTTTTTTATGCTGACTTCTTATTCCCCAGATTTGGAGATGTTTCACTCTCTAAGGATCATGTGTTCTATTGCTTAAAACTTCTCTGTGGAGAAAGAATCTTCAGCTCAATAGACTGTCTCCTCCCATGCCATATGACTCTATCAGGCCAAATCTATCTTTTTGCCATTGATTTACCTTTCTGAAGATGGTCTGGTGGCTTACAAGCAAAGGATGGTGCCTCCATCCTTTGAGACCAGAGGTCTGTGTGGTCCCTCACTCATCCATTACAAAGGGCTGGCATGAATTTCTGTGACTGACTCAATGTGAAGTGGTCCTTCATTGCAACTCATGCTGCTGGAGTATAAAGTTAGTCCAGGAAGAGAGTATCCTCATTGCTTAGGGGAAGTGGGGCTTGTCTCTGCCCCTGCAGGGCATTGATCAAGCCATTTAAACCAGACAGGTATGAAATCCTTTTCCAAGGTAGAAGCAGAAGACTGGGCCGTGCTGTTTGAGACCCAGGTCAGTCTTTTTTGACAGTCACTTGTAAAGTTAATTGTGTGAAGACTGTACGTAACTCATTTATAATAGCAAATAAAAGTTGCCCTGGCACCATAATGATGGTGTTTATTAATGATTAGTTTTGGGGTTTTGTTAACAATGAGTTTTGGAGCTTTTTTTGCACTTGGATGTAGCATGCTGGGCCTTGATGGTCTGGCTGGCTGCTACCTCGGGATCCTCGGTGAGAGGTCCTCAAGAGGGTGACAAATAAACGAGGGATGGGCACGATTCAGTGACCCCGAAAGTAAAAGTCTTAAATACCAAAACAACAAACATAAGTCAAGCAACAGTATAGGGTGCACCAAAAAGGCAAGGGCCAGGGTAGGTTACAAACTTATATAAGGCAGGTTAGGGATGGAGTCTGAGGGAAAGGATCCAATAAAAACCAGTGATTAGCAATATATAAAACATTGCACCAAATTCTAACCAATAATAACAGATAAACTATAGAACTTTCTAGTACTATTAACATATAACTTTTCAGGGGACATTGAGGGTGTGCTTTTGCTCACCCTATCTTAAGGAGATCCTTCTTTCAAGGGCCTGGGGCAAAGTCTCTTTCCAGCCCTTTGCCCTGGCAGACTCCAATACTTGGATATTGCTTTTTATACAAAGTTGGTTTTGAGAAGTGAGTGTATGTATACAAATTAGGCAAAGCTTCCTTTGTCGTCAGATGAGCAGGAACTGTTTCATAGTTTCTATTATTAGACCTGGTTTCAGTTACTTGTATGTTTTCCTAACTTTAGGCATTTGCCTTGACATTTTCTATGCCTGACCTACTACTGAAAAAAACAAGAAATAAGAATTTCGCTGTTCAGTCAAACAGTGTCCCACTGCTCCCGTGAGTTCCAAGGCTTCAAGCACATTCTTGATACTGTTGAGGAGCACATGCAAGGAAGATTCCCCACACTGATGCGAAAACACCTTTCCTTGTGCAGCTCTGCCTGCACAGAGTGCAGTTACAACCTTGATTTCAGTAATTGCTCTTCTGAGCATAACAACAGTATCCTTTACAGGGAGTTTTCTCCTTTGCAGAGGTTGAAGAGCAGAGAGCACCCCGGCACTTCAGGGTGCCCAGAGAAGGAATGAAACTCAAGTTTCATTCAAGGGAACTGTAGAAAGATAAAATCTTGTGGCTAAAGTTGTCAAATGCTGACTTGTTGAACCAGATTTTTATCCCTCTCTCTCATCCCTCATCTGTCCAAAGGCTGGAGAAGAAGTGACTTAAACCACTTCTGACAGGCTGTGTCACCTAACAGAACTTCACTTTTGTTAGTCTAACCCTAAAGCTTGGGGTCTGATTGGCAAAAGTACTTGGCACTCACAATTTTAGCCAATAAGGATTGTAATTTGAATATAGCAAAATTCTATAAATCCTAAATATATGTCTTAAATGAAGCACTTAAAATTTGTGCTCTCTGATGATTTTTAATGATCATGTACACTGCTTTATCAGGGTGCCACCGTATGCTAAATAAGTCTTTCATTCCTATAATGATGTATTATAAATAGGGACTAGAAGCCTACTGAATTATGCAGTGTACTATAAAAGGTATAAAAAAATGTGCTGTAGCTACCATCTGTATGTAAGTCATATTTAAAACTATTTTCCTTAGTTCAGATTTAAAAAGTACACTGATGCTAATAATCCTGTTTGTTGTATTGCTGAAACATCCAGATAGCTAGTGAGGTTTTCTGTGCCATGTGCTTCTAATGTTAATTCCTGAAGACATCATAGGACAGTTAACTAAGATTGAAGCAGATACTACTTTGCTTAACAAAATGCGTGCTAATGAGCATGTTTCTCTTTCAGGAAGTTGCACAGAGGTGAAACAATGCCTTAACCAAGGAAAAAAAAAGGTGTTTCATATAAATAATCATTCAGCCTCCCCTCATAAAGAACTGATCTTCTCTTTTTTTATTGAAGAAGAAGAGTATGATGAGCCTCCACAGTGTAAGGCAGGCCAAGACATTGTGCTGCAGTCACCTGTGGACTGGGTGCTTTTGGATGGCCGAGAAAGTTCCGATGACCATGGAATTGTGCACTACGAGTGGACACTGCTGCAGGGCGACTCATCGGTTGAAATGCAGGTACATGTGCAGTCTCCCTTGTGGCCACTTACTTCCAGATTGTTGTGTTCAAGTTTTAAATGTACAGCTAAAAATATTAAATATATTCAGATCTGTCTACCAGGCACCGAAGTTAAGATGCCTGTACAACTCCAATATTGGTTTCACAGAAATGTAGAGCAACCCAGGGAGGGAAGGGACCTCAAGAAATCATCTGGTCCAACTGTTCTGGGACAAGGACCCTCAATGAGATTATTTTATCTGTCCAATCCCATCTTGAAGACCTCCAGTGAAGGAGACTACACTGTGTCCCTGGGTAGTTCCATTGATTATTTCTAGTGGCTTACACAGTTAATCTCTATCCTGGATGGCATGGGACAGCCAGCAGCAAACAAGTGGATGACAATTCTCCACTGTATTTGAGCTCTGCTTTATTTGTACTCACTAAACTTGGTTTTCAGCTTCTGTCACCCCAGTTAGAGACCCCTCAGTAATTCAGTTACTAAAAATAATAAGGGATTTTCACCAACAGTCTTCTGTCAGTGTTTATGGAGAAGGTACAAAGAAACGTGATGAAGACCTTATAAGATATTTTATCCATACATTTTCTGCTGCACTTTGGTTTCAGATTAAAATTACCCATGAAGAGAGGGACTATTAATTTTAGTCTTTTTTGTCAGTGCTCTATGATCAGCAGAAAAAGAGATAAAGAAAAAAATGTCTCAAGTCCACGGACTCTACTCATAGTTTGTTAACAGCCTACAACATCCAAGACACACTGGGAACTCCACCTAGAGCAGGAAGGATATGTAGAAGTGAGAGAGTGTGAACCAAAATGAAGCTTTAAGAATAGTTGCTAGATATCTAGACAAAAGGCACACTTTATTATCAAAGACTTGTTAATCTGACCCCTTGCAGCATTTTTTGCTTTAAAGAGCAGTTAAATACTTTTTAAATTAATCTGTGATTTAGTAACATAGAGTAAAAAAAATTAGAATTAAATACAAACATTTAAAGTTTATATTTTTAATATTATTCAAAGTCACTTTACAAAATAGAGACAAGTCTTATAGCCATTCAAACTTGTAAAATTCATGTTAACCTTGGTGGCTTCTTTGTATTTGTTAACAGAAAATGAATTTGACATGCATTTATGCTTAAATAAATAGTTCTCCATTGTGTTCAAATGAGCAGGGATTTCTCATACAGATATGTTCCCTGGTGATTAGCCATGATAATTTAAATTTTAGAGCTGAATTAATAACTGTGATGTTTTTCATGCATTCTTCAGTTGAGTCTTTAGTGCCTTGGTTACTGCCCTGAAGTTACTGGATTTCGTGTCATTTATTCTTTGAGAATAATGTATGAATCCATAGCTACAAGGGAGAATGGAGTGTGTTTAAATAAGATAAAAGCTGTTGCATTGCCCTTATGTAGCAAAGAATAAATAGAAGGCAGAGGAGAGGGAAGGACTTCTGTAAAGAGATCTTATACTGTAGAAGGAAGCCATTTTTTTTCCTATTGTGGCTGAATATTGCTTTTTTAGACAATTTGCTTCTCTGATTGCTACCCCTACTCTGTACAGCTGCACAGCTCTTGGACACTTAGGGATGGTAATGGGTTGGGGCTTTTTTAAAATACTGATTATCTGTTTTGAGACAAAGTTTCTGTGTAAGCAGATACAGGCCAGCATTCTTCAGGGTAGCATGAAGATAAAAAGGAAAGCCCAGAGGTCACTGGGAGGAGTGGTGGCATATTCAGAAGTCAGTGGCATTTCTCTGTCTCTGCACTGAGAAGAGGCTTGGGCTCCATGGCTCATGAGTTTTAAATACCACATTTGCTCTCCCAGCAGTCACAGTGAACAACAGCAGGTGTTTTTTTTAGAGCATAATAATGTCTTTAACACAATAAAGAATAAAATACTAAGGGGTCATACACTCCATCGGGAGGTACTCAACAGTCTGATAACGGAGTGCATTCATGTAAATAGAAAAGGAAAGAAATTTCCATTAGGAAATTTTCTCACTAAGAGAAAAAATGTGTTTATCAATACACTTTTCTGTAATGGAAGGTCTAGGACTCTGTGACCATATTAATTAAAAATTCTTGTTCTCTTTCAGGCATGAAAATTTATTTCTGTGGATCCATGTTATATTGTCTACAGACTAACTTGATAGAGAGCAAAAAGCCAATAATTTACTGTGTATCCTCTAAAATTACATTTCTAATTACTCAAAAATTGAGTTAAATATATGTGACCATTTGTTCTCCATTTGTGTGCTGAGATCCACAGCTCCAGGTAACTGAGTAGATCATGAAAACACTACCTGGATGTTGTGGGTTTTTTACAAATGGATGAAAAAAAAAAAAAGAGATCGAATGTTCCATGCTGAAATACATGCTTGAATAGGCTGTCTAGACTGCAGGAAGTATTTAATCTGCATGGTGAGCTCCTTATTCCTGGAAGGTCATGGATGGATCCATTGATCCATTGTACCAATATGTTTTGTTTTTTTTACTGTGTGCCTTTATTCAGGTACCACAGCCAGGAACACTGAAACTGTCCCACATGCAGGAAGGTGGGTATATTTTCCAGCTAACAGTGACAGACACTGCAGGTCAGCGGAGCTCTGACAACGTCTCTGTGACTATTCTGCCCATGGTTCATTCTGCAGCAGGTGAGAAAATGACTGGAGCTGTTGCCTCTGTGACACCCAGGGTGTGGTATTCAGGTCAGAGCAAGGGTCTTGGTAAAGATAAAAATGTTAATCTCCATTTTCAGTGTTTTATTTTGCCCTTGTTCATTACATAATGACATCTCTTTCAGGTTTGAATCACTTTTTCAAACTGAGGAAACAAGCAAGCATCACTTGCCTGTTAGAGCAGTAATACTTTCAGGCACTGAATGTTTGTCCTTTTATTGCTAATAAGCATGCAGGGTTGGAAAAGTGAAATATTGACACAGGTATCAGGTGCATTGTAACAGTCAGATAGTGTGGGCAATATGACAGGGAATATATATGCTATAGGGAAGACCCAGTTAAAATTACTTCATAGTGTGTTTGAGGCAGACTAATAATAATACTGACCTTCCTCTTTGGTCTGAAGGTTGGCATGGTTTTTTGTTTCAGTGCATTTAAGTTTTTCTGTCTGATGGTTATTCTTGAAGCCTTAATGCTACTGGGGAAGCTGAAACTGGAGCTGACCCATCATTTTTAAACTCTGAGCTTCAGAAACATATAAAAAGTAGAAAGTAAGCTAGATTTCAGTGGCTGTCAGTCCTGCTTTTAAATGTAATAACTTCTAATTGCATTGTAATTAAGAACTTGCTAATGCAGATCTGCTGCTCTGGCACAAAGTAAAAGTTAAATAGCATTATCTCCATGTTCAGCAGAACCAGTAAAAATCTTGCTCTGCACCAGCACAGTATCTCTATGTGAGATGGTAGTCCCTGTGGCAATAAGCTGTTATTCCAAAAAATCTGCTTAATAGTGCCTGTATTCCAGTAATGGATGATAGGCTTGTGTTCATTAATGTTTAATTCAGCTAAAGCAGCCAGAGAGGTTTGCTGGTTTGTTTATTTGCTGCTGTGGGTATCTTGGATATTTTTTGTATGGGACACATAGGGGATTTGCTGTCTTTTTTTTTTTTTTAATTCCCCAGCTACATAAGCAATTCAAGTGCTACTGCTACAGCTAAACCAGTTCCTGATGCCTTAATACATGCAACATCAGTGCTATTACTAGTGCTGAAGTTCAGGAGATGCATTTTCAGATTTTAGGGGATTTTTAACAGTTGTCTGCATTCCTGGCATAATTCCCTTAGTGTGGTGCAGTGTTTGGTGCACAGCAGGATAACAACCAAAGGCTGTGACTCCCTTATGCAAATTGATTTGCTCTTATGACACTAATCAAGCATTGAACAACTGAACATGGTAGTGCTTTGCAAAGTGATGAACTGCACTGCTGTTGGAAAGACAAAAGCACAAATGTAAATACTTGATAATTACAGAATCAGAATGGGTTTCAGGAGAGCTTTGAGTATGCAAAATGGAGCATCCAGGGATACTCTCCATTTCCAGGGGAATCTAAATGTCAAAGCAGCGAGCAGTCAGTTCTTTCTGGTGAAAGTAATTTGTAAGAGCATGACCTAGTCCTATTCTGGTGTGTGCTGTATTGATGTCACTGAATTGCTGATATTTTCAAAATTGCTGATATTGTCAAAATAATGAGCATTCTTTAAGTATTTTAATTAGGTTGCAGAAAATATGCCATAAAAGATCCCATATAGTCCAAATGTGTGTATGTAAAACAACATATTGGTGTTGAATGGATATGTAGTAGGAATTATGTGTTGGAGGGATGCAATTACAGCCACTGATATTTCATTTATTTTCAGGGCTGTTCTGCATCTTTTAAGCCCAGGAAGATCCCCTTTCAGCTTAGGCCAACAGAATTCAAAGCACTGTAAGGGTGCTGCACAAGGTGTAAGGTGCAACAGGTTGAGTATTCCTGTAATAAAGAGATTTCCAGGCTAGTGATGAAGATGCCAAGAACAGCTGTTGCTGTTCTGAAGCTGTCTTTGCTTCTGTGTCAATACGATGTCACATAGCTGAGTCTGAACTTTCTGCCTTGTTCACGGTGCTTCTTGACACAGCGTGGTTTTGCTTTTTCCTCCATGCTGCAGAATTTAGTCACTGACTCAGTATGTACTACTTGGATTTCTCTTTTGCTAATTTGGGAATTGTTTCTCAACAGCCTGTGTTGGGGTTTGCTCTCGCTACCAGTTTATCTGTGATGATGGCTGCTGCATTGACATCACGTTTGCGTGTGATGGTGTGAGACAGTGTCCTGATGGATCAGACGAGACTTTCTGCCAGAATCGTAAGTGTGCCAGGCCACAGTGGCACAGCAGACTGTGAAAGTAACCACAGCCTCAATCACCAAAGGGGGACAATACTGCTTCTGTGGCCTCTCTTCCTGTGAGCAAGCAGTTTGCTCATGGCCTTTCATTGGAATTAGCACATGGGAAAGTTTAATATCTGCATACTCAGGTGCTCAGAAATTTTCTTCAAAGCATAATAAAACTCTCTAGGGTCCCTAAGTGTCAGGTTTGGTGTTCAGCAGTTAAAAGATCGGTTTTGCACTCGCATGATGATTCTGGAAACAAGCGCTGTGGTGTCTGTCTGAAAGGGTGTCTCAGAGGTGCCCTTCACAGTGCTGTTAAGACACGCTGCAAGAATCTGGAGTACTGTGGACATGCAAGGGAACCGGTTGATTCACCATCATGCTGTTTGTTCTCGTTAGTCATCCCTCAGCATGTGCCCATGCTCAGCTAAGTGAACAAAAGCCATCAGAGGGTCAGTGGGCACAATGGCTAACCACTCTTCCATTATATTTTAGTTGCTGGATTTCACTGAGGTATCTGTGACTCACATTTTATCATATGTGTGAACCTGAGGAAGTTGTTTACTCTGCCCCAAGGCCCATCTTGGACAGTCTTCTTTAAGAACACTTCCATTCCCTTCAATGTTGTACAAAAATTTTGGTTTCTGTTAACAGTCAGCTCGGGTCGGAAGACGGTGACACATGCAGCTCTTGGCACTACCCAGCAAAGGACTGCAGGACTGACTGAAAACACAGAGGAAAACTCTGCAGAGAACACCCTGAAAGCCACTGCCAGAAATCAGCCACTTCTCTCAGTGGATGCAGACATGTCTAACCAATCGCTTTCTCAGGGACCAAAGAAACAAATCAGTGGATTTGTGCCAGGTAAGATTTGAGTAAGTTTCAATAAATCCTTCTCCTTAAAGAAAGGAAGTGTCTTGCACCTTAAATTTAATTTAATTGTCTTTTGGTTCCCGGCTAAGAGAAAAAAAATTTCAAACATAAATAAATACAAAAGAAACCTGTAATAGTGAAGTTCTAAGTAGGTTTTAATTTATTATTGTCAAGTCTGTTTTTTACTAGGTGGAAAAAGAAGTTAAAATGTAGGAATGCTAGGAAAGTAATACAGTCTAAAGAACAGAATGTGCAGTGAACTAAATAAAAATTCTGCCACAGGTTCAGCTGTGTAGGCTGGTATATTAAGGCTCTTTAAATCTGTAGGGGAGTACTTCAGGAGAACATAATAAGATACTGTTCAACTTGGGTGAAAGTAATTGCTTTTCTCCTTTTTTTTTTTTTTTTTTTTTTTTTTTTTTTTTTTCTGAACTAATATCTTTTACTATTATGGGCATTGTTGCATTGTTTTTTTCTGAACTCTGTCTCCAGGGCAGGAGAAGTGTTTCATCACTGTACAAAAGGAAAAGTCTTAGGCGTTGATAACAAGCTACTCAGGTGTCCACGTACATGTCCCCAGTATTGTTCTGCACAGTGGCTGCGAGCCTGTAGTGAGTCATTGTGTGAGGTTACAGGCAGAGCCCCAACCCTGGCCTTGGTAAAGCTCCAGAAGCTGCAGTGAAATTGATGTGTCTTTTAAGGTTCATGATGATGAATTAAAATGATCTGAAATGGCAATTATATGAAAGCAAAACTGTGCACACAGAGCCTAAAATCAATACCCACCCACCCCCCTTTTATTTCTTCATGGTTTAGACTGATTCATGTGCCCCAAGACACAGCTATTTATAACCAGCTTAGTTTTCCAGTTACAACAGAACAGTGCTCAGTGCCCTCTGCTGTCAACTCTGGAAAAGGTCATGCCCTGGTTGGCACCTGGACGTTCCTTCAAGTTGCTTGTACTTCCTCTGTGAAGTGCAGAAGTGAAAACTCTGCAAAGGGAGTGAAAACAATGTTCTCAAGAATTTGATGGCCTCAGTGTGGGGAATGATAGCAAAATCCTGTCCCAAATGTTTTCCCCTTTTCTGGCAGTGTAGCTGACCTCTAGACGACTCCTCACTGCTGACTAAAATTCTGAAGTTTGCTTAAAACCTTTCTCACCCAGTCTTGAGTGACACCTGATATGGGGCCACCCAAACTAAACATCAAACTTCCAAAGGGCTTTGCAGGCTCCGGTAGGAAGTCAGCTGCTAAGTAGGTCTCAAAAATCATTTGGCTTGTGAATCCAGGCATAAAACCAGAACTGAGGTCACCACCTTCAGCAACTGGTAATCAAGGTTTGTAACTGGATGTACAATGCAGAAGCATTTTTGCATAACCATTTTCTGTGTTTACCCATTGCACAGTAACTTACTTGCACCAGTTTTGCTCTAAAAGTAGCCTTTGGCACAGCATTACACAAGGAAAGATGAAGATTTTTAGAAAACTTAGGAAGTGTGATGGGGCTTCAGTGATTAGTGTACTACCAGTACCTGTTCTAATCTTCTAATTTTCAACAGGCAAGATTTTAAGCTGTTTTAATTCTTGTGGGTTTAATATTTTTCTTTTGACAAGGCTCAGTCAAAATTTCATTTTAGATGCTTAATAATTTTCCTGTGGAATAGAAGGATCCAATCTTTACTGACCTAGGAGCCCAATACTTCTAACTAAAAAAAGCAGCAAATAGCTCAGTGAGGTTTAAAATCACCTATGGATCAATTCCAGTTAGGGTGCATGGGGTGGGATGTAAAGAGTGCTAATTACATGCAAGGTACATGGGTCTGAAGAGCAGCTGCCAAAAACTGCTCTGCCAAAACCTGCTCTGAGCTGCTGTCTTCTCCTGCAGACACTGAAATTTCACAGAGTCCCATGCTGTGCATTTATGATTCACAGAGGTCCAGAGAGACTCAAGTCTTGCCCCACTGGGAAGCAACTCGGTCTTTATGGAGTTGAAGAGACAAGCATCTAACCTATTCCTTAAAATCCACTCAGATCCATTAATTAGACTTCCCTCCATCACTGCCGTCTCAGGGAGGTTACAGACCAAATCTAATAATTATGTGGTACAAAAATGAGAGGCACAGAAATGCTGGAGCAGTTCCATGAAGCTGATCTGGAAATGTGTCCAGTAGGGCAATAATGCTAGTGGCATTTTTGAGGAGAGGTAAGCAATGCTGAAAAGGAATCACACCAGCAGTCTCAGAAGTTCAACAATGCCTCTGGCAGAAATGCTGTTCTGGGAGGTATTGTCTCCTGCTGCTAGTGTCCAGGTAGAACCTCTGCCTCTGAATCACTATAGAGGTCTTTGTTGGACCAAGGCAGTCATGTTCTTGTTGGTCTGGAGCTGACATTGTGAACATCCAGGCTTCTTATATACCATTTTACATAAATTTTGAAAATAAGCTTTAGTGGTTTTAATGTCACTATGGTGAAAAGCTGTCTACTTAAGATACAGATTAGAGGATATGGCTTTATACTGGCAGCACAGGTTCCGGCTTTTCACTTGCAAGAGAAAAATTCAGGGCCACATTTTTCTTAATTCTCAGCTGACAGTTTCAGATCATCATGGAAATACAAGGAAAATGTAATGCTCTTAAATCCAGTGACTGGAAGGCAGAGGAAGTGAAGGTTTGTATCTACTGGAGACAGCATGTGGCACATTCCAGCCAGCTGCTAGACTTGATGTTTCATACAGGAGCTTTCAGTTGATTTTTAAAGGAGAAGTTTTTCCCAAGATATTGTAGGACTGGAGAGTTCCTTTGTTTTCTTTTTTTAATTTGTTTTTTTCATTAGTGGTAGCTAAAGTATCAGTAAAGGCCTGTCCCTTCTGCTACTTACCTCTCCATAAACAGCTTTCATCTCTTGAGAATTCAATAAAGGTGTCTAATAAATGGACTTCCTTGTCAAGTATGACCATATTTATCTTTCCTCCTTTTCTTCAGAGGAGCTGGGCTAAGTTATAATATTTTGGACTGTGAGATAGTTCTCAGTAGCAGATACAGAGTTTTCTATCTATGTGATACTAGGGGAGCTTTTTTCCAGAATCCATTTTCTCTTAATAGCTTTTCTGTTCCAAATTTCCTTTAACCTTCCTTACAGTGGCCTTACATGCTTAGCTCTGACTTGATACAAACTTTAAGGATTTACACTGAAGTATCAGCGATCAGAGGAAAATATGCAAGTCCAAGTTAAGGACTGTTTAAAACTTCTGCTTGGCCTAACAGGGAATCTATTCACAGTAAAGAGAAAAAAACCACAACCAACTAAAACAGAATCCAAAAATCATTGATTGTTTACAATGGGTAAATATTGTTTTGCACTTGTGCCTTTTCAGTGGATTCCTCTACAGCAGGTCAAGTCCAGGGAACACCAAGTCTGACTTTGAAATAACCCCCTCAGACACTCAGGGCACTGAGTCTTCTGCAACAGGAGGTCTACTTTAGCCCAAGCTGAAAGGCCAAACATATTCTTTCAAAGTCGGGAGTGGATGGAGGAAGAGGCGTTTGATGTCAATAAAAGAGTCCTTTCTCTCTCTGCAGACATGTCTCCATGGTAGTAAAGTTACCCAGGCTGCATCTCCTGAAAAGGCCAGCACAGCATTTCTGCATGGCTGCCTCCAGATAGCCCCAGTCTCCTTCTCCAGGGAAATTCTAAAGCCCAGCTGCATATTCTGGCACTCCTGAACTTGCAGATGAATATAGAAAACACTCAGTAGCAGCACAGCACTCTGGCTGAGCAGTGGGCTGGTTTCTAAGCAGCAGGGGCCAGTAGCAAACAGGATCATGCAGATGGGTTGAATTCACGTGCAGCCTGAAAATTTGCACTCTCCAACACAGCCAACCCAAGTGTATAAATCACCATAACAGCTTTGTGTTCCCCTGGCACAGGGTCTCTGCCTCTCCCAGGCTGCCCATGCAGTGCTGTTCAGGGCTGGGATTACAACATTTGACTGAGTGCCCAAGCCTTAGTCATGTTTTTACTGTGGAGGCACCCACAGCAGTAGCTGTAACCTAGATCTGTAATTAGGGTAAATGGAAAGGGCTGTAAATGGCAATTTCCTCAGAACAGACTAGAAAATCAAGAGAAAGTGAAAATCAAATTAAACCCCTGTAAAATGCTTTATGCCAGGCTCCTAAACTTCTCTGGGGAAATTGCTCTTTGTGTTGTAGAGATAACAGATAAGATACTGAGCAGCATTGACTCTGATAGTCTCTCCAGGCGTGTAAGAACAGCCACAAATCCTAGCAAAACCCTACAAGCTTTATTGAAAGGATTCTGTTCTTCTACCCTTCCAAAAATTTCCCACTAAACTTCTCTCCGTATTTACCAAATTTCTTTACAAGCAGTTGACTTAAAAATTCACTTTACTTAAATGGCAGGGAAACAAATTTCTAAAACAGGCATTTAGATGCAGGCTGGAGCAGCTCTTAAAAAGAGCTGATGTCTTTTGGGTATTTTCAAAATAAAGACAAATATTAATTTAGTTTAATTCAGGAAAAACAGAAGTGGAAAACAGCTGCTGGTGTTGGTGTCAGTTACATTCAGGTGGTCTTGCCCATCTCTGATACCATACTGGTATTTTAATTTGCTCTTAGGAATTTTTTAATTCCTTTACATGGCACTTTACATGGCACTTTACATGCCAGGACAACATCAGGAGCCCAGCGAGGAGAGGGCCATGGCTTGTTTCTACAGCATTCCCTGTGGTGAAGTTGGTGTTTATGCACCCCCAGCCAAAATGGCAGGGCAATGAAGCAGCAGCCTGGGAGGCTGTGTTCTGCCAGGGAGTGGGGGCATTAGCATGGACTTTCATGTCAGTACCAAGGAAACAATTTAAACTGTAATTAGCAGTCGTGTACATTTGCTGCTGCCGCTGCCAGGGACACCTTCTGCAGCTCTTCAGAGCTGGTGGTGGTGGGTGTGACTTACACACAGTGCACGTTCCAAATTGACTTAAACACTTCCTTAGCACCCACCACTATATGTAATTCCAATTACAACATTTCACATTCATATCCTACCCATCTTGTAGCATAGTGTGTTTCTGCTAGCTCTCCCACAGTTCTGAAGGCTGCCAGCAAATGTATCACAGCAGTCAAAGTGCCCTTGCTTTTGGTTGAGATGCATTGTGCTTTGGGAGGTAAAACTGAATTTAAATTTTAGCTTTAGTTTCATATTATTTAAAAAATTCAAGTTACACAATCAGAAGTTCTTAAACTGTTCTTTTGTTTGGTTTTTTTCCCCCTATGTTTAAGTGCTTCACATTATTTAATACTAGTGTCCTGTGTGTGGATAAGGCTTCCTGAGTCACTGAACTGCAGTATTCATTCATCTTGCTTGATTTTGTGCAGATAACAGTTCCTCAGGGAAAAGAACAGATGATAAAAATGGGGATGGCATAATGATGCCAAAGAGAGATCAGGTTGGAGGTGGTCACCCAATCCCAGAAACAGGTAAGACCAACCATGTGAATTAATTTTGAATTACGTCAGGTTTCCAGTCAGGTGCTATAGATACAGATAAAGTAGTCAAGAACTGAATAATGTACTTAGATATTCTAACTGTCCCTAACATGATCATACAGTTTAGTTTCATAGTATGAGTTGTTCCAATGTTAGTAATTGAACTAACTAACTAACTAACTAACTAACTAACTAAGTGATAGACTAGCTGTATTTTTAAAGAAAAGATCCAGGTTTTCTCTACCAAGCATCTCGCTGTGCTAAATAAAATGTAATTTTTCTTAACCTCACTGTAGGTGCTGTGTTACCCTTAGCCTTAGGCTTGGCAATCACTGCTTTGCTGCTGCTTATGGTTGCTTGCAGACTGCGCTTAGTGAAACAGAAGCTCAAAAAAGCTCGACCCATTACATCTGAAGAGTCTGATTACCTCATCAATGGGATGTATCTCTAAAAACTGGATTTGGGTCGGTTGTTTTCTCCCCTTTCTCCTGTGTCCATGAATCTCTGCCTCTATGAAAGGAGCAAAATCCATAGTTTATTTTCAAGTGTAGAAGAAGCCTATGAGATGAAGAACATACTCTTCCTCTTTGGTGATAATATAAAAAGTGGGTAGATGTCCTTGCTCAGAAAATAAGAAACATTCAGGCTCCAGAGAGTAGCTCCAGTTGATTGTTGTGCAGAAGACACAAGCAAGGTGAGGAGAGCCCAAACTGGTTGTGGGGTGCCCTTTCCCTCCTCACAGCAGTTGGGATCTCAGCCAGGGCTGAGTGCACCCCAGGGCCCGGGCACTGGAGCAGCCAAGGCTCCACAGCCCAGCTGTGTTGGCCAAGGTGGGGAGGGAAGCCTGTGCCACCTTGCTCTTCTCATGCTGCCACCACTGTGGGGACCAGGATGCTCCAGCCACCACGTTCCTTCACCGTCCAGCAGAGACCAGTTGTGTTCTTTCCACCTGATGCACTGGGAGTGTTGTCTTTAAAGAATATGTCTTGTTATGTTAATTAAAAGCAATTGCTATCCAAGCACCAGCTTTTGCAAAGAAAATTGGGATTTAAGGAAGAAGGCATCTTATTTTCACTCGGTTTAGACTTCTGTGCTGCTAGCAGACAGCCATGCTTGCTAAATGCAGAAATGAAAAAATGCACTCCTCAGCGGATGAGCTTGGACTTCCCAGTGCTCAACAGCAGTCATGTACTGCTGCCTAAAGAAGCTGTGGATGCCCCATCGCTGGCAATGTTCAAGGCCAGGCTGGATGGAGCCCTGAGCAACCTGGTCTACTGGAAGGTGTCCCTGCCCATGGCAGGGGGGCTGGAGCTAAATGATCTTTAAGGTCCTTTCCAACCCAAACCCCTCTATGATTCCATGTGCAGTCCCAGAGCTGTGTCTCTCCCCAGAGCTCAGGGCTTGTTCAGCCTTTTCCACACCTAGCCCATCACCCCCCCACAGTGTGAGAATGCAGCACACAGCAGTTTCTGCTCAAGATGCTGGAGTGTAGGATTCCTGCTGGTTATCCCATAGCTCCCTGCAAAGCTTGAAAGCTTCGGTGATCTGCCCTCACCCCAGAAAAATTCTCATAGAATTAGAGCAAGTAATTGATATGTGTGAGTGAACTGCAGATGTGTTACCAGTAAAATGTGTACAGTACATGTTATATATACATATATACACACACACTGTGCTGTCTGTCTTGTTTGGCTGTCCAAGGATGTCACATTCCTCATGGGTCTCAATAAAACCAGAGTCAAATGAGGCATGCATCGTTTTGTATGTTGTCTTTTGTACTTCAGTAACTTTGAGTCAGCAAGAATATTGCCATGGTATACAAACAGTTCTTCAAGTAATTTGTTCTTGATTACTTTATGTAAAATAGATCTAATAAACCAATTCTATTCTTATATTTATTGCATTGTCTTTCGTTTCTATTGCCAGCTAAATTTTGTGCTACAAGACTCTATCATGAGAGCAGGCAGAAGTGTATTTCTCCTTTCTGTGAAACAGCCTTATAAGAAGCTGGAATGTGTATGGTGGGGGGAGTTGTTGAGATACTTATTTCAGGGAGACAGAGAAGGACAGAGCATCTACCTTTGTGACCTGTCTCTCGAGCAGTGCTTGAGCTGAGGAGGACAGGAGTTGTCAAGCTGGCTGTGCCAACCACTCAGGGAATGTGGTTGACAGTGCTCCTTGCTCGTGCCACATGAGGCAAAGTCTGATTGTACTTCAGTGTTACAGTGGGTCAGGACACTGTCTGCTGATGCTGCCCATTTCCAGTTTGGGAGTACAGCCTCTCCCATGCCAGCCCACAGCAGACACAGCAAATAGTGCAAGACCCCAAAGACCACATACTAAATACAGCCTCCTGGGGAAGATTCACTGCCCATTTGGTTGGGGTCTTATTTTCCATCATTGAAATCTGCATTGGGTTTTAAGTAAGTATCTAAATGTCCTTCACCACCTTATCAAAGCAGCAAGAAAATGGTCTTTTCTCTCTGTGCCCATGGTGCTCCTATCACCAAAACCCATTACCCTGGCACACAGCCAGCAGCAGAACAAAAGGTTTGGTTTTGTTCTGCCGGGCAGGTCAACAGCAAGACCTGGCACAAAGCACAAGCCAGCCAGTACAGCCGTGGTGCAAGAGGCTGCTCAGCTTTCCAGTTACTTTAACCAAGAGCAGGCTTTGTTTCTGTGCTGCTGCTAGTGGAATAAACCTTGACTGATTTTGCATATGACAGCTGAGAGTGAACACCTCCAAGCAGAGAGCAGCAGACAGCAAGCATGGTACAGGAGTCTGGCTAGTGCTGCGTTAGCGTTGCCACAGTTCCCAGGGACTCTTTTTTCTGGGAAAGGAGATGGTGGCAGTTGCTGCTCTGCAGGCCACTCCGCAGCTGGAGTGAAATAAAATAGTTTTCACCTTACCAGAGAGCTTGGGGGCATTGTCAGCTGGATGGAGAGCAAGACAAAGTTAGCAAAGTAACAGATTGGCTTGGCAGCTCCTGCAGTTAACACACACACACTGGTCTCAGTACCATGTGTTTGCATTTAATAGCTTTCATGCTATTTGATTTTAAATAAGTCATACTGAACTACTGAGCTGGAGCACACCTCAGTAGTTCAGTTCAGTTCTGGGAGTAGCAGAAAATACTGTCAACATGCTCAGGATGCTTTTCCCTTTCTCCCCAGGCAGCTCCCAGCCACTGTCTCCTGCTGACACCACTTCTGTAGCCTTCCCAGCCACTCCCAAGGTTGGGGCTCTCCCTCTGATGTCAAAGATGTGCCCAGAGCAGGTGCTGCTTCTAGCCCATCTTCATGGCTGCATTGGTAAAACTGCATTCCTGGCCTCTCATGCAGACCCCAGAGCTGGGGAGCTCTACACAATCACAGATCACAGAATATCCTGAGTCAAAAGGGACCTATGAGTGTTTATCCTGCAGCAGAAGTGAGACATTCTGTGTGAAAGTTGTCGCGATTTGAAGTCTGTCAGGGCTGTTTTTCCTGTCCTAAACACTGACGTTTGTCTATCTACCTATCTTTTAATATGCTCAGTCCACCTATTCTTACCAGCAGTTTAGGTAAGCAGAGAATATTGACTACCCTGACTGCATAGCTCTGTGGATGTTGCTCCTCTGTGAGTTAGGAGAGGTCATTAAAATTTATTTTGTCAGTGTATTTTAATGTTGACCAAGATTCTTATTTCAATTAGACTTTTTTTTTTTAAAACTGTTTTGCCCTTCAGACAGCTAAAGGGTACAAAATACTTGAGAGTGGCAAACAATACTTACCTAGGTTTGATCCATATTTAGAAGTAAGGGTTTGGTTTTTTTACCATAATATGGGCTGCTTTCTGCCCACTTTTGCAGGGGATCCTAGGCTGAACATCTCGCTGTAATCATTCCATAGCACTGTAGGATAATAGCAGGGGCAGTTCCAAGAGCACATTTGCAAAACAAAAAGGCTGAAATAGGTCAGTGTGATGCTCCATTTGCTTTTCAAATCCTAGATAAAGCATAAGAGTTTCAATCCCAAACTGCACAGAGCCAGTCAGAGGCATGAACCAATAGCAACACAAACACGCCACCCCAAAACAAAGGGAGAGCCTTTCAAGTAAGCCCTAACAGAATCCACAGTCATGCATCACTGAGGTCTGTGCTGGCTGTTTTCATGTGCATCAGGAATTGGGAATTTTCAATTTCTACTGGTAAAAGCTAAAAGAGTAAGAGCAAAAGGAAAAGCTAGAGAAGATTCAGAGAGCACTGGTGGGCATAAAGACCAGACAGAGGCAATGAAAAAGAGCCCATGACACAATCAGTCTGAGCTGAGTGACAGGGAAATATGCTGTAAATGAGGAATATTTAAAGGGGGAAAAAAACGCAGTAAAAGTAACTCTGCTCTGCATTTTTCAAGTATTAGTTATTTAAAACAACTAAAAAAGTGAGCTGGACTCAAGCCCTGAAATACAAACAATGAGAAATCTAGAACGACTGGATCAGCACACTTCAGAAACAGGTTTTTAAATACACCTGCTAAAATTTTGGTTTTCTGCAGTTACAAGGGTCCTGACTGACAGTTATCAACCACTAATAAACCAATGAAAAGTGTATTTTGAGCAAGCTGGCAGAAACCAGACAAGGCAGAAAGGTTCGGTGGAGGACTGAGAGTCACCACTTCCTTGGCCAACAGAAATGTATAATCCTGTTGTAGAGAGGGCAGAGCAAGACATTTTAATTGGGCCCATAGGGAAAGCATCCCTGAAGGCTAATTCCATGCCCAAGGGATGACTATCCTGAGGCTGCTTCTATATCCAGAGGAGAGGAGCTTCTCTAGAGCTCTGTTCAGAGCAGTAGCAGGTGCTCTGAATCACCCATTCTCCTAACCAGAGGCGTTTGAGGATGTCCTCCTAGTCCATAAGGCACCTGCAATAAAAGTTACTGATTTATCTCAGATGCCACTTCTCCATTATAGCTGAAAAAGGATTTGGCAGAACATAATAAACAAGAAACATGAACTGTTCATAGTAGAAACACATAAATGCAAACATAAGCCCAAACTTGGCTGAAAAAAGACTTTAGCTTCTCAGCAGCATTATGGAATGTTTTCAAGAGTATCTACCAGGTCAGTTGCTCAGAAGCATGTGATGAAAATGGCTGGACTACAAAGAAACCTTAGAGAATTGAAGTGAGATTTTAGAGTAACTCCATCAACAGTCTTTGAAAATAGTCTGTTGTTGCTAAAAAAGTTTTGCTAAGAGGCACAGGATTGTCTCAAATTCTCAGTTTGGTATGATGAGACACAGAATGAATTATTTTCATTTTTCCTTCCTGAAGCTTTCAGGCAATTCTCAATGGGCAGCTGGATCTCCTCCATACATATTTCAGCAATAGCTATGTCCACTCAATTAGTAATTTAAAGAAATACAATTTTAGTTCCCAAGCACATCCTGCTGAGCCTCTCATTAACACCCTGCCAAGAGCATGAGAGAACAGAAACAGCCTTTCACAGGAAACTTCAGAGTGCATCAGCTGCATCATGAATTTGTGCTGTGTAAAAAACTACTACCTGGAACAGAAAGCAGCCCTGTATGTCAAGGATGAAGTGTGGGAGTTAAATAGGCCAGCTAGAAGGAAGTTTACATCACCTCTGCCAGCATAAGGCCAAGTTTCAGTCCATGTTTATTTCCTCAGACCTGACCAAGGCAAGGAACCCCCAAACCTCACCAGCTGGGGGGTCTGAGCACACAAGTGTGTGTTACTCACAGTAAAGACAAAGGGGGGTTCTAATACCTTAAGAGTGTCTGTGCACTTAAACAACTGGTCTGCAGTTCACATTTCACAGTTAAAAGCAGATGGACAAAACTCAAATAGACCCAACAAAGGTAAAATGTATGAACTCATCAAACCAAATTCAACCCCATGCTCAAAGCCATCTATTATATACCACAGTACTTAAACTCTAATTTACCCTTCCTGATCTATGAAGTCTGAACATCCTGAAATGCAAAAGACCAATTTCAGAGCTCACCATCTCCTGCATCCCCCTGTGCCATCTTTGGGGCAACATGTCCCCCCTGAATTTTTTTGTCTGGTTCTGCACAATGTGCTTGTGTGACCTCACCACCTGCCTTTTTTCTGAACCAGGACAAGCCCTCATTCACTTCAGCAGAACACCTCTTCCACATTGCTTGGGACAGGGATCAAGGTTCCATAAAAGTAACTATTCATCTTTTGAACTGCATCCTAATATGTTTAAAATGAGCTAAACAGAACCAAAGTCACAAATCACTCAACCTTTGTATCATGTCAAAATTCAGAAGGAATTCTCTCATGTCCTCCTTCTGTGAACTGCATTTAAATCAAGAGCAGCACAATCTGGGGCACATTAATGAGTAGAAGGAAGAAAACACTGCTGCTGTAAGAATGGGTTAACACCCTTCTTCTTCCTGGCAGGAAGGAGAGCAGTAGTTCAGAATTTTCTTCTGAGTATTTTACTTTACCTCTTTGTGCTGATGTGTTAATTCCACAGTCCCTACACACTCAGAAATCCTGGAGCTTGTCACCCTGTCACAAAAACACTGCACATTTGGAGAGAACTGCTGCCAGCTGGAAACTCCAGAGCCTACCATGCAGAGCCCCGCTGGCTCCAGGCATTATTGCCCATTTCAAACTCGATGACTACAAAACATTTCAGGAATCATCCAGGTGGCTTCATCAGCAGTGCTGGTGTGTTGTGTGCTGGTTTCCCTCCAGAAAAAGTCATGTTACAGGCTCTGTGGCCTCAAGCCAGCTGACCAGCCTGAACAGAAAAAGTACATAGGTCATTCCTGCTACCTAAACAGAAAGCATCCATACAGCACATCAAACTCCTCTGTGGAGAACCCACAATTCTCGGTGGGTTTTCAAGATACAAGTATTGGCTTTCCAAGTCTTCTACTGTCTGGATCCCAGAAACGACTGGATAAGCAGCTCAGAGTTCAGCCAATCCATTCTCCCAAGCTGTTCTGGCTTAGAGGTGACAGTAACAGCCCAGTGAAACATGACTGCACCTCTTATAAAGAGATAAAACTTTAATCCTTGCAAGTGGCAAATCACATTCTCCGAGGTAGCTGGATTCAACTATGGATAGCAGACAGAACTGTGCACAGAGCCTGTTCACCAAAACACACAGATGCGAACTAAGAGAAATTCCAAGCAGCCACCAAAAACCCCACTTACATTCCAGGTAGTATTACCAGGCTTTGTAGCTGCTGCACTACATGAATTGACTGAAAATGGACACATAGTTCTGGTCAGTTAGCAAATCAGTATTTTTATACATGTTTTCTTTTGGAGATGTGAAATCCCACTGAATGTTAAAAACAACAAAACCAGTGACAAAATCAGACAGACACCTAGATACAGCTTCCTCTCAATTTGTTTTATTTGGCAAAGTAGCAATTCAGACAGTTCACACAGCATTTATTCAAGCTCTTCAAGTCTTCTGCATTTCAACTTGTCCTTGTCTCCAAGTTTTTACTTCAGAACCATTGCTCCACCATGGAGGAGTTTCCATTTTCGACTCCTAAATGCTACACCTGGATACTCCTTTCTGTCCAAGTACCTTGACTATCATCAACCCTTCAGTGGAATGGGTGCACTATTCCCACCAGCCTTGGTCCCTGAAGCCTTACACCTCCTGAAGTGGTTATCCCCCAGGAAGTTGTCATCGGGTCTCAGCTTTAACACCACTTCCAAGTCAGGCTAGCTTATTACACTGCGTCCAGAGACAGGATTTTGGATACAGTTGAGCTCATATCTTTCATTTAACTGATTAAATTAGTGAGAAGATGTAAATAAAGCTGAACTCAAACTGAAAGATACAGCGACCAAAAGGTTGAACGTTAGCATGCATCAGTTAAGATATTTCACTTCAACATCAAGAACTAGAGTCACAGTTGATTGTGGGTTAGTACAAATTTGTCAGACGCAAGTGGATTTTTCTGGATTGTATTTTCTAGAATATGTGCTATATTAATTTCTTTATAAGATTAATCTTGTGCATGTGCTCCCAGGCTGCAGTCAGATCAGGAGGTGGTACATTAACATCCAAACATCTAAATAAATTAACTCATATAGTGTCTTTTACAGAAGAACAAAATGGGGCTGGCCTTCAAATGCAAGTTATTTAAAATGTTCCTTTTCCATATTCAGAAGCCTTTGAATTTTTACCTTTATACTTCCAGGGATTAATCCTATCTCTAAATTATTTCTTCCACCATAAAAAGTTGGTTTGGTTTTTTTCCCAGTGATCACTGTGGGTTGTTTTATTTTACAATCCTTCCTATCATAAAAAACCCCAAACAACAACAACAACAAACAAACCACCCCCCACCACCCCCCTTCCCCGTTTATTTTAATTCCTGGTTGCTCAAATATGAGCAAGATGATTGAAGACACACTTCCCCCCTTTCCCAAAGCAGCCCACCTTACTGTACTGCTTCACAATTTGCTGTTGACATTTACAGTACCAAAACAGAAAAAAAGGTTTATAGCCTTCCAACTATTCTTCTGTATGAAAACTGAACAAGTACATCTATCTGTACTTAGGAGTCCAGGATTCTTTATGCATGCACGATGTGTTCCTTTTACAGCAATTTAGAATTCACTTTCTAAAAAGCCATAATTTTTCCTGGATGCCCACTGTTATAAAAATAAGGATGTTAATACAGCAAATGGCTTTGCCAAAAGCAACTTTCTTTTAGAACCAAAGGGGGTTTTGGTTTCTAATAAAAAACCTAGCAATCCATATCTCAGACTACCTACCCATCCTAATCTTCCACACAAGCACAAAACCCCCCTTTTATTTGGCAAAGCAGCATTGTGTAAATTTTTCAGTGATTGGAACACACCTCACTTCACATTTATGGAGTTAGATCCATGTGTATCACACCAGCACTGAGCTATAAACCACAAGAGAATTTCAAGATTACATTAATCAATTTTAGAAGGAAGGGGAAAACCATGTCTGTTATGTCCAGCTTGAATAGCAATGTTTGATAAGAGCAGCTACCTACCTCTGATGTCTTGAAATTTTATATATACAAATGCCTGGTTTTAAGGTAAAAAAGCAGCTGATTGTACCTACTACATGCTAGTCTATGACACCATGTCAAAAGCTTAGAAAGGAAGTTCATCTCCTTTTAGTAGCATCTAAAAGACGTTGGAACACAGAAAACCTGGTAATACCTACAGAGTGTCATAAGGTGCACAGAAGCAGTTTTACCAAGGGACACAGGAGCCGAGAGAAGTGAGTGTTCAAGTTCCTCCATCAAATTTAAAGTTCACAAGCTATAGGTCTTTATCTGCAGTTTTGCAGAAATTCACTTTGAACAGATGAAAGTGAAATAAAGGCATGTTAAATAAAACAGTGCCCACATAAAACTTTCCACCATTTCTTTATCAGATTTGCCTTGAGCATCTAAAAAAATAAAACAAACATCACGCTTTTCCATGCTGATAACAACAGTATAATGAAGTCCAAAACAAGCTGCAATGCTGTTGGTTTTCAAAAAGCTTTTAGAACTGGAGATGAGCAGTCCACTGTAACACTATGTTTGGGTCAAGATGATGTAGCTTTTACAATTCATCCCTGTAGAAAGAAAACACATGCAGTTATGTTTCTTCTCCCCTTGGAAATGATATTTGAAAAGTTTTGTTATTGATTCAGGTTACATTTAAGTGCTCACGCACATCAGCAAAACTTCAGAAATCTCTTCAAGCATTTGAGAAAAAAAACAAACCCCAAAGGAAAGGCAACAGCAATCCCATCTCATCTCATACTATTATGTGATTTAATGTGAAATATGGGTCCCTCCATTTTACATTTAATGGATCACTTGACCTAAAGAAACTCCATACACTGCACAGCTAACAACACAGCTACCTGCCATCCGAATTCTGCTGGCTACACACTGGCAAGCAACTGAGCCAGCTTACTGGACAGAGCATTGGCAAAACCCATCCTCTGTAGTTGCCAAAAAGGCAAGTTTAGCTTCAGCTGCACTCAAGAACTCTCAAGAAAGCGGGAACACAATCTTGCATCCCTGTCATGCAGTTTGTACCACTTAAATGTATTTATTTCTCAGAGGAGCTCGATTAGCGCCTGAAGGAGCTACAATAAATCAGGAGTAGGTTATGGAAAAGCTGGTGGGGCAGGGCAGTGTATGTGGGGGTGTATGTGTGTGTGAGCTAAAAGGAGACCTAGTCAGGAGAAAGGATGCATCAAGAAGTCTCTCTAAATTGCTGAAAGGAATCTAGAAAATGTAGATGTTTGTTCCTGTAGGACATTGAAGACACATTGAAACAAGAGACCCATAGAACCTATATTCCAACCATAAGTTGGAAGTTATAAAGTAATCACATAGTAGTGATTTAAGTATTTCTAAAGCATTAATTTTAAAGCAAAACACCCATCAAATGTGAAAGCTGTGCACTGTGCCACTCTGAGCACTGGAAAACTCAAAGGGAAACGTTTTGACTCCTTTTTTTTTTCACAAGGCACAAGTGATCTATAAATTCAGAATGAGTTTGCTGCAATTTTTCTTTTAGCAGGTGCATCAGCCTCATTAGCCAAAGCAAACAGTGTCTGAATTAGAAAAAAAAAACACCTCAGTAATGTGATTGCTGGCTCAATCAGTACTGATTTCAATAGTATCTCCTGCTATCATGCGCACTAACCCACAAAAATATAGTTCTACATGCACACATACAAAACTTTAAAGTTACAAAGACATTATTATGCTCCAAGAATCATATAGCATGGAATGACAGCATGCAAAACATTTTAAAAGCAACTGAAAAGGCTGTAGAAACTAGTGCTTAAATGCTAGTTTTCTATCTAATGCAGCTGGGGATGCAAACCTTGTGATTTGTAAGTGATAAATATTTGCATTCTTTGCACTTTGCACTGCCTCCTAATAGCAAGGTACTAATCACACAGCTTTAGAGCACTGCAGTAATTACAGACAGCAGAAAAAAGCAGGAGGCGGAAGAAGACATCCTGGCAGGGATAAAGAAAAAATTATTTATAGCTAAAGGTTTGGAAGCTCTCCGTATTTGCTATCTCACAGAATGGGTATTTGCTTACTTTAAACAGATAAAAAGAAATTAACATCTGATACTCAGTTTAAAATGCAGTGCCAGTGAATTCAGGACAAGTGCTTCATTCATCCCTAACACTTCCAGGAGCTGCATCATCCCTTAATTTTTACAACTTCAAGAAGTGTATGTAAATAATGACTACTGCTGTTGCTGGCTTAGTCTCATATGCCTAATTGTGGGTGTGATTTTTATCCTGATTCCTACCACACACTCACAGCTTTATTAAACCCTGGTCTTTTACTGTGACAAGTAATTCTTAATCCTTCAAACCCAAGGTAGATCCTCAAGAAGCTGTAAGCCTAAGAAACATTCTATATTTACTTCAAAATATTAAACACAACGATTTTACCCAGCCACAGATGTTAGCAAGGCTTTTGCATAATGTTGCTAATGCACTTAAGGTATTTAAAGTGAGGATTTGTTTTTTCTTTTCCAAAATGATATTTCTACTTAAAACATGTAAGTATTACATAAATATATCATTTAAAATAAATTATATTAACATAGCAATGTTTTAATTGTTGGTATTTTTCATTGCTTTAACATATTTGTGACCACTACATCCTATATGTGACATTCAAAATAAGGCTTTCATATTTTATTTTTTAGAACATTTACTGTATTAAGGGGATCAGCTTTCCTCAAAAGATTTTTCACTTGCTCTTCACTACTCATTAATCTAACAGCAGCATGCCAGCCCAAACCAATCCATGATATAAATGTCAAAAATACACAGCATTTATTTTCTACAGATAGAAGTTGAATTTATATGTGCATTACTGGATGTATGTATTAGAAAGTTCCAGAAAAGTCTTGGATCACCTGATAGGTTAACAGTTGTCAGCTTTCTCCCTAATGTAGCACAGCTTGCAGACATAAATACATATTGCAAACCAGCATCAGTTGACCTGAGCTGATCCTGTATGGATTGGAAACTGCCAAGCTATGAAATCCACCAGGTTTCAGCTACTGGTAAGAATCAGGATACAGGTCTATCCTCCCAGTGATGCAACAAAATCTATCCTGCTAAAAAGCTTAAAAGGAGACTCAAAAGATTGCTCTTTCCATGTTAAAATTATCCTGTTGTCCTCTAGAGCCTCAGGAAAGATCAACTAATTTGCGTTCTTCCTAGCCATGGCTATTTGCTATGATTCTTACACAACTTGTGCAATTTCTCTCCGCCTTCATATATGCACTCCTTCCAATCTTCTTACCAGCTCCTGCTTAGCAAGCAATATCTATATTTAGGGTTTAAGTCACCACAGTAGTTCTTCTCAGGCCTTTGGAATTCCACCAAGAGAACCACTCCTCTGTCAACTGAGGCATCAAAGCAACTTTGTAAGTTAAAGCAAATTTCAGAAGTCATTAGCTCAAAATTACTGTTCTTGAAAAAAAAAGTAATAAAGTTTGAAAAATTTTGGCTTACTGCTAGGGAAAGCATATACATGAATATTCTATGCTTCCCATTATCCCGTTATGAATATCCAACAACAAACCAAGAAACAGTCTCAGAAAAAAATCTGATAGGCAACATTACGGGAAAATGACAGCATTTGCCATGAAATAAAATAAAGAGAATCAATAATCTTACCAATAATAAGTTTAGAATATAAGTAAGTCATGCAGCTTTGCAATCCCTCACCATCTGTTTAGTGGAAGACATTCAAATTAAATATTTGAACATTTAGATTTATAAATCTAGCTAAAGTTTGTATCTCAATCTTTTAGATCCACTTCAATTTTCTTGTCATTAGGCAGCATTTGACTTTCCCTTTTCAATACGTCATTCATCTATGAAAAACATGTTGTCATTCCTGAAAGTGAAATTCAGAGTGCAGCCTTTTATTAATTAGAAATACAGCATCTACTCAGTGTTTCAGCAGCCCATTATTTCTCATTTTATAACTTTAAAGATGCAATATTTAGACTTTTAACATTTTAATCTGGAAAGGTGCTGTTATAAAATATTTATAATTTGCCATGATCAATCATAAAATTCAGAGTAAATTGAAATTATATAGGATTTTTTTTCTGTAATCCACCGCATCAGATATATCACATGTACTTTCACATAATTGTATTGGGTTTGTCTGGCAAGGTTTTGGCGTTGGTGGGGTGGGAGGATACAGGGTGGTTTCTGTGAGAACCTGCCAGAAGCTTCCTCCCTCCATGTTCTACAGAGCCAACATCAGCTGGCTCCTAGATGGACCCTCCACTGGCCAATGCTGAGCCAGTCAGGAATAGAAGCAACATCTCTGTGGTAACACATTTTAGAGAGAGAGAACTTATTGTGCAGAGAGGAGTGGGGTGAGAACATGTGAGAGGAACAGCACTGCAGACACCCAGATCAGGGAGGAGGGGCAGGAGCTCCTCCAGGTACCAGAGCTGAGGTTTCCCTGCAGCCCCTGGCGCAGGCCATGCTGAGGCAGCTGTGGCCCTGCAGCCCATGGAGGGTCACAGGGATGCAGGGATCCACCTGCAGCCTGTGGAGGAGCCCACACTGGAGCAGCTGGATGTCTGAGAGGAGGCTGTGAACCTGTGGGAATCATGCTGGAGCAGGGTCCTGGCAGGAGCCTGCAGACCCATGGAGAGAGGAGCCCACACTGGAGCAGCTTTCCTGGCAGGACTTGTCACCCTGTAGGGAACCTATGCTGGAGCAGGCTGTGCCTGCAGAACTGCATCCCAAGAACAGTGACCCATCTTGGCTATGCTGGAGCAGGCTGTGCCTGCAGAACTGCATCCCAAGAACAGTGACCCATCTTGGAGCAGTTCATGATGAACTGTAGCCCATAGGAAGGAGTCATATCGGAGAAGTTCATGGAGAACTGTGTCCTGTGGGAAAATCCCCACACTGAAGCAGAGGAAGGAACTCCTCTCCCTGAGAAGCAGCAGGAAGAATGTGTAATTAATTGACTATAAACCCCATTCCTTGCCTCCTTGCACTGCCAGAAGACAGGAGGTAGAGCTAGGAAGGAGAGAGAAGGGGTGCAGGAAAGGTGTTTTTAAGGTTTGTTTTACCTCTCATTATCCTGCTTTGATTTTGCCTGGCAATAATTTCAATTAATATCCCCAAGTCAAGTCTGTTGTACCCATGGTGGTAACTGGTGAGTGACCTATTCCTGTCCTTAACTCATGAGCCTTCTGTTGAGTTCTTTCTCCTCTGTCTAGCTGTGGAGAGAGAGGCTTTGGTGAGCACCTGGCATTCAGTCAGGGTCAAACCACCACAATAATACCTAATTCTTAAATTTAAACTGAAATGTTCTGTGCAGAGATTCTTTTAGCCAAAGTAAAATAAGCAGCTGAACCATAATCAGTATTCTGCATGGCCTCAGAATTCCAGCAAACAGTACCTGTTAATTTCAAATTAAATTGGTCAACTAGATCGTCAGGGGCACTTGAAACACTGAGTAAGAGTTTTGAAGCAGAAACATATAAAAATATATCCTAATAAATACATTTTCCAAAAGGCTGTATTTTTAATCGTGGTTTATGTACAGATAAGTGGGATACATTAATAGTCGAGTTCAGTCACTGAAGTTTTTGCTCAGAAGGGTAATACTGTCATTATAATTTTGTATTTTATCAGAAAATATGAGTTTAGCATAACATTTATAAGTAATTTCTACTAATACAATATGTAAGAGAAAAGCAGTTGTTAACATTTTTAAACAGCTGCCTGTTTGGAAATCAAATCCAAAATGCAGACCCATTGCTAAGTGTTATTTACATTGTTATTCTCCTCTGCCTCTGTATAAGCAACAGCGTGGCCAACAGAACAAGGTATCCTCTGGAGGTATTTAAAAGATGTGTAGAAGTAGCCCTTGAGAAAATGATTTAGTGGTGGACTTGGCAGCACAGGGTTAACAGTCAGACTCAATGACCTTAAATGTGTTTTCTATCCTAAATAATACCATGATCCTGTGACTTTTGAAATCGTTTTTCCAAATAAGTAGCAGGTGAACTCTCACAGAGAAATAAAACCAGAGATCCTAGTTTATACAAGATCTGCCAGTAAGGCAGCCATCAAGCCATGTTCCCAACTGTGCAACACAAGAGGCCTTCCCTCCATCTTATTTTTCATTAAAAATACCCAAAATAATTGATAAGTTTTATATGAAAGGATACCCTTATAAATATAAACACGTGTCTGGGCACTGACTGCTGGATCTCTGGCACACTACTTCGTATTGTTTTGTACCAAAAATAGGGTTCCTGTGTATATTCTACTTCTAAATGTCCCAGGGACATTTGAGATGATTTCCACTAATATTGGGAGCTTAATAAAATATTACTGTAACTGAACCAAAACTAGAAAGTCATGGCCTAAATTTAAAAAAATTTAACAGTATTCACAAATAAGATGCTTTATTTAGCAATGTATTGAAATCCAAGGAATCTTTTCCTTCCAGCTAGTCCAAATTTCCTTTTGCTACAAGATTGCAGTTTTACATAGTGAAGTATGATACACAGTACCTGAAGACAGGTTTGACTTCAAACACCACTTTGTGTGAGTGTTGTGCTGCTTTGCAAAAGCACCCTGCAGCCCCATTAAAGAACATTCCAAAACGTGAATGGCTCAGCAAAAATTTAAACAGCTTCCAGTTGACTTTCCTGCCAACTGGAAGGTCTGCTAGCCTAGGAAAATGCTGCTGGCCTATCAATTCTATTTTGTCAAGGGACACCAATTCTTCATTCCATGTAATGGAAGTTACCTGCATTAGGAATGAAAGCACATAATGTAAACTAAAAGAATGACAAACTAAACACACAGAATTGAGCTAATCTTAACATGATTATTGTTTAATGAATTTGAGATGTACAGCAACAAATTGCTCACAGATCTTGAGCCATTTAGAAAAGAAAAACTGAAATCTAGGAAGTGAAGAAAAAACACCTCTTTCATATTTGATGCCAGCATAGATAGCAAATGCTGACTTATAATTAGGAATTTCCTTAGCAGCAGCTGGCTGACCATAGACTTCATAGTCACCAACAAGAAAAAAACAACAACAAAAAAAGTGACCTTCTGAAAGGTCAGCAATACACTCACAGTTAGCCTAGAAAACGGAATGGGAATTTTATTCAGATCACAAAAAAGACAATTAAAGAAATACCAAACATTACAAGAAGTGGACTTCTGAGATTTTCTTTAACAGAGAGTTCCAAGATGGAACAAAATTTAAACGTGCATAAGAAGATACAGCCTCTATGCCATTGCAGATGAACCCTTCAGGCTAAGCACTTGTATTTTCTGGTAACACCACTGTAAATTCTTAAATTAAATAAATAAATAAAATCAAAAAGTGTATCATAAAAGCACAGGAACTGGTATGAATTTCTGGAGAAAATAACCCTACAAGATGCATGACTGAAGAAGGCTCAAAGACAAACTACTAGCTCTTCCCAAGCTGGCAGACAAAATGAAATACCAAACTGCACCAAAGAGATGCAAAAACCTCAGAATTCTAGTCCATAACACAGTACACACCACCTTCACTTGTAGCAAGGGATAAGCACTTTTGAGAAACTCTTCCTAAAGTGTTTTATGAACATACACTGCTGCGACCAAAAAAATTCCAGTTGCTACTGTAATCAGATCAGCCTGAATGGAGAAAAATCTATGAAACCTCTCTGACAGAAGGAAGGCTTAAGAAGATGACTACTCTTTTTTTAGAGCAAGTGAAGCATGGACTCCAAACTTAAATAAAACATTTGCCAGAGGAGGAAACCAACCACAAAGGAAAGCTTCCAAAGCCTTACAAGAGGCAGGAAACCCCTGAGTACCACACTGAGGGAATACTGGTGATATTCGATGCCAAAGCATTCGTTTGCATAACAAATGAAAAACATCTGAATAACAAGCATGCTTCACAAGCTTTGAACTAAGCAGTACCTCATTGAAGTTGTTTTAAGTGTCATTTGTACATGGTGGCTATACAGTAATCCAAGAAACACTGAAATGGGGTTTCACTAAGCAACAGTATGCAAAATACTTTATTTGTACTTTTTATGAATATTTTGATATGTTAGACTAAGTATTCATGTATTCAAATCACAAGCTATACTCCAGAATATCAAGGGAAAAAAACCAAAAATCTAAATTTAGCTTATAAAGCTCAAGAGTTGTTTTCAGAGCTCAATGCACATCTCTGCACTTCACTAATGCCAATAATACATTCACAAGCACTTTCTGCCAGGAAGCAAAACAGCACTGCTGCTTTGTTCATTCACATACTAATGCCTACCATGGCTTAAGCTGACAGCTGCATTACATCTATTTAATTATTTATTTATTACTGGCTATTCAATTCAGCAAACTGGAAGGTTTCCTACTTCTAGAAAGGCCTTTAGAGTTTGATGTATTGGCAAACACAAATACTGCCCCATCAGAGACAGATGACAGACTTCTAATAACACATCTGAGAAAATTTTCTGGTCACTACTCAACTACATTTATACTTTAGGGAAGAAAGAATTATATCCTCTACTTTTTGCTATTTGGGGGCTAAAGAAAAAGTGCTAGCAAGATCACCTACATTTTCCACAAAGGATTTTGCAAAGATTTTTCTTCATTTGTAGTGTTTCAGGAAAATAAAAAATGAACACCCAATTACCACTAACTTAAAGGACAAAACAGTATTTATTAAGTAAAATTTTACACTTCACCCTAATTATTGGGCAAAATAGTTATAAAAAGTTCATTAAAAGTGAAGTTTAGCCTTAGAAAATACTGTGTTTAAAACAACAATTAAGAATCTTCAAAACACCAAAGACTAAAGAAAACATGTTCAAAAATGACAAAGTGCAACCCATGCAATATTTTTCTTCTGCTTTTAATTTAGCTCAAACTTAGCATAACCTCCTTTGGGTGATGTAGTAATGCAGACTGAGTCACTTTTCATGGTATGGAGGAGCAGAAAGCAATGACAGCAGCAAAGGCAGGCCTTGCAGTCTATCTGCTTAAAATTCACACCCTTTCACCTTGAATGTGTGTGGAAGAAGTAAGTGGAACAGAAAATCACTTCCACCTGGACCACTGCTTCTCTTTATCTGTTAAAGGCACATATATCACTCCCATCAGAGGCTTCATTTTGACACTGCCATCTTCTAGTTTGTCATACTGTTCGAGCATCTGGTTTCCCCCAGCAGGGCCAACTGGTAATATCAATCTTCCGCCAGGTTTTAACTGGTCTATAAGCTAGAACACAACACAGAAATTAGAATGTAACCAGCCACTTCAGAGAAGCTGGATCCAAAGTTTGTTACAGTAGATTAATAGCTTTGCCATTATGTATCTATCTACTTTTATGAAGTAGATAACTGCTTCCATTAGGAAAAATAAAAAGTGCACTGAAAATGAGAGTATCACAGCAACATGGTAAAACAACTGGTATTAGAGTAAAATAATTTAATTAACTGGGGAGGTTGCGGTTTTATTTTCTGTATATGTGGGGGAAACATGTAAATCACAAATTATTAGCAGATTCAAACTTTTGAACTGTTTAACTGTTTAATAGTTATTGTGTATCAGTACAGGTCCAGTGTCAAAAATTCTGGGGGTAACTGATCTCCCCTTAAACCTTCAGAGTAAGATTGGTGACTTTTTATTATTTCTCTTCCTCGAAAAATTTTGTCTACAACACACTCATTACCCAACAGCTCCTCTTTCATTCTGTGAATGGAACAGTCTTTTATGAAACTAGTCTAAAATATACGAATGAGTAAGATAAGTGACACGTAAACATAGTATCTGAAAAACGCTTGCATTTTTTTTTCATAGTTAAAGGCTAATCACAGTAGTCTCAAGGAAAATTTCATACTTCCCAGATGTCATGAAAAAAAGCTTAATCCCCACTGCTAACAAAAGTTATAATTAAGAACTGTTTCATTCACAAATAAGCTTTCAATTACTTTTTAAATTGTCATCATCAACGAAAAAAATGAAGCAACCCCCCCGCCGCTGGTCATTGTCTGGAAATGTCTAATCTGTCTACAACACCTCAAAGCCCAATCTTTCTCTATACCTCACTAAGATTTAAAAACATTAACTGGCATCTAGCATATAAAAATTATGCTATATATTACCGTGTGCCTGATGAAAGGAAGAGAAAAAAAAATCTTATCTGCAAAAATGGACTATATGGATGCACACTCTAAAGCCCCTAGTTACTCTTCAGCTTCTCTGGTAAGAACTGCCCTGTATCCATTCTGAAAGCTATGAACAAATGGCACTGTTTGTACTTCCAGCTGAGCATTTTACTTTCAACGGACTCAGTGCTTTGGAACTTGGGAAACACACTTAAATTTTGTACCTCAGTGTTTTAAAAAACTGAATTTTCTTATTAAATAGAATATTCCAGTTCATTTTTGTAATAGAGGGTTGCACACGTGTAATTTTAAAATATGTTTATTTAGAGCGGAGTTATTAGAACATACAGCTTTATCAGACCAACAGGAAGCCCAATTGTAACAGAGACAAAAACCCCACACCATACAGTAATACCACACTGCCCACTGATACTCCCAGCAGTGCAAGCTACCAAGTATAAAAAGTATTTTACATACAGATATATGCAAAGCACTCTCTACAGCTAAGATACTACAGAAACACACACACAAAACATAAAAGCTTACTGCTTGGGGCACAACCGGGGCTGCAGCTCCAACGTGAATTGCATCATAGGGAGCTTCTTCTGCATATCCCATTCGTCCATCTCCCACTGAAAGAAAACACTGGTTTTTAAAACATTTTCAAAAGGACTGGAGAAAACAGCTGGTTTCCCATATCTGTATGTAAAAAATAAACACATTTGTAAAACAAATGCAACAAAACACCCTCATATGCACATACACATGCTTGTAATATATATATATATAAATAATATTGAGGTATCTGAAATTAGAAAGCTTGGGTTTATAATGAAAGTTCTTGGAAACACATCATCCACCTAGAAAAGATACTAAAGTATTTATGCTCCCTACCAATTCAAGCACAGGTGAATTTCCCCCCTCATTTACCCTCTCAGAACAAACAATTTGCTTTGCCTTGTCTTCATGCACACCATTCCTAAACATAATGCAAATCTTAAGTCCAAAGCATTAAACGTCAGAATCATGTATCAGAAGACTCCAAAGGTGAGGAAAAGACAAAGGAAATGTTCCCCATGGATTATGCCTACAACTGCACTACCAGTTGCAACAAAAGCCCACACCTATATGCATACATTAATGCAGTACTGCAGCAACCTCTGCACACCCCACATTCCAGCAGATGAGCCTCACTATTCTTCCAGCAGACAATCACTGGACTAACACAGAGAGCCAGGTCAGACTCATGACTACAGCTCCAGGTGGCTGCTTGGAAGATGCTAGGAGTAATTACGGTTTTCAGAAGTTACCAGTGGTTCTTCACCTTTGGTGGAGAACTCATGGAGAAGCACCCTAGCACAGGCATCTCATACCATCCCAGTTATGCAGAAGGAAAGAGTAACAGTTTGGGGGTTTTAAGCCAATGAAATGTGACAAACCAACCTGGACCTTGGGTCAAGCTTTGAAAAAAGACAATGTGAATATGGCATCCGCCTTATTTACAGGAAAGCAACAGAAATCAGAGCAAGTCAGGCAGGATCTCTCTGGAGTTATTTAGAACAAATGCAATAAATGATGCTGAACCATCCATATATTCATACTCTGTGATTACAGAAGTTCTAATAATCAGTCAAAAAGAAAAAACATGGAGGTTAATGAGCATAGTCTTCTGATCAGCACAAGTAATTTGGGGTTTCCCATCGTCAAGCAGGCTAAGTTTTGACTTCTGTGCAAACAACAGTATCACAGGTTAATTAAAACTGAAAGAATCAAAACAAGTGCTACGCCCCAGTCAGACACTGAAACCTGTCAACTTTTTGCCTTTAACAACTCTCAAGGCAGGAAAAATATATAGTCACCACAGCAGGTTTCATTTTGACCTCCATGATAAGGAGAGCCATCTGGATAGTAAGAACACCCTTAGGTATTCAAGACAGTACAGGAAGACCTGGACAGCTCCTCAAAACAATTAAAACAGAAGTATTTGTCATCTGCCTTATGAAGTCCTAAAAGATGATCCTCTCAAGGACCTCCTCTTTACGAGAGCACATTTCCTCAGAAGCTGAGAAGCCTCTTAGAGGTCAGTGACATAAATACTCTCTTCAATTCTGACCAGCAAAAGCTCCAACCAAGGGCCACAACCAGAGGTTGTGAAGCAAGAAGTACCAGCGCTTCAAGAGAACTCATCCCTATTGATCAGCATTTCCACTAAGTCAGATGGCAACAGAGATCACCAGTAATGGAAGTTCCAGTACTTCCAGGGTCTAATCCCTCTGACTGCCAAAGTGTTCTACTGGAACAACCATCTCAATGCAGTCAAGTATATAATACTTACATATCTTAGTAGCACTGTACAACTCTTCTAAAGAAGCAGCAATGATGTGTTACTGTATCAAGCTGCTGTTCCATCAGAGACGGCAACAGAGAAAGACTTCTTTAGCTTATTCATACAGATAGTGCTAAAAATTATGTTAGTTACTCAAGGAGGCAGACCCTTATTCCCCAGGGTACACAGCAGGCATTAGAAGCAGTGACCTCCAATACTGCTGGAAAAAGAAGTGATTGCCAAGTTGAAGAAGCAGCTGTCAAAGAAACTGCTGTCACTTCCGAAGAACACATGTATTCTGAGACATTAGTGTTCCTAGTGTACTCTCCAGAGAAGTTTGAATGTGACTTCTGTACATCTTATCACTTTACTGACAGCAGTAAAACAGATCCAAAAACAACTATCCCTTTGCTCTCAGAAACCATAGCTAACATCTCCAAAAACAGCACACACACAGCCAAAGTGGGGAAAAAAAAAATCATGCTGCTTCATATGCATCAGGTACAGCATGACTCCTCCCTTCTAAAATCCACAAAAATTATGGTTACAGAAGAAATACATCCACCCACAACGGCAGCAGACTTTTAGATATCCAGGAGATTTAAAAAATAGTTAAGCTGGCATTCATATATTCAATGTCATTCAAATTATTTCATTATTCAATGTCTAAGGGGAAAGAGGACCCCAAATTTTCAGCTTGTGTTTACATCCTGAATAATGTCACCTATCCTACTCACATCTCCAGTTACATGCAGCCTGTTATTGAAGTAATTGTGATGGTGGGCAGCAGGTGGTGATGAGGAAAAAATGTCAGGATTTTTGTTATAAAATGGTTCTGTAGCTTGTTTATAAATCTAGACCTGATCTGCTGATCACAGTACTCAAGCCTTCAGTGCCTCTATGCAGACCTGTTTCATAGAGTTGTAGCACTAGCACAGAAAGAGAAGAAAATTACTTCCCTCAGTTGTTTAGAATCCCTCATCCCCGCTGGCTATGGCTGCATCAGCAAATAGTGCAGTACAATAGAAGTAGATCTGTACAGCAAAAGTTTTTGCTGAGAACCTGGCATCCATGCAACATACGCATTTCGGGATAATCACTGCAGTCTAGATCTAAGTCTTATTGTCTTAACATCCACATACAAAACATATTGTGCTTTCCAGGAGTACTCTCATGTGAACCAAAGAGTGGTGAGTAGAAGCACTTGAGAGATTCACCTCAAAAGCTTCCTCCTGATATTAAGAGGAGACAAAATCAAGCGATAAAAAAATAAATAAATAAAAAAGCCAAAAGACACAAAAACTTACAAAGACATATTAATCCAAGTATACCTATTTCCAATCTCTCAATGCAGTTTTACTGAGACACCCCAAAATAATTTTGGTGTTCCTGAAATGCAGTTATGGCACATGTGAGATATGACAAAGCAGAGTAGAATCTGAAGGACACTGTGAAAAGCCAGCAACTGACACACCTGATCTTATTTCATACAGCTCCTATCATTAATCAACAGGTTTTCACAACTTTTTTGTTTCTGTATTTGAGATGGGCGTTTTGGTGGGGTTTTCTGTTGCTGTCTTTTTGTTTTAAATAAACAGCTGTCTGAAATCTTTCTCCACAAGAAATTCTCAGGAATCCAGCACAGCTGAAACATTCTTTTTCACCTAATTCACAGAAATATTACTTGTCCATCTGTACTTTTTCAAAATGTACCTCACAACAAAACTATTCACAAGTCTCTTAGTCACCCTGCTACACAGTCAAAAATAATATAGATAATGATGTTTACTTAGAATTCTAGACTTGCAAGAGCACCAGAGTTTGTTCAGGAACAACCAAAAGCTAAGTCAAAATTGCTTTTGTATAGCAACAATGGAAATTATTCCCTCATTCCCCCTTTACAGCAATCTAACTTCTTTTCCAAGAAGTTCTGAGACCTAAGTGTTCTCAGCAAGATACACTGCATTATATATATGCGTACTTGTTGGTAAACTTATTTAAAAAACATTTAGAAAAGTCCCTCCTTTACAAGAAAAGACCAAGAATCAAAATGGTAATTAAGCTAAGAGCCAAACATCACATAATGATTTTTCCAACTGTTCTTGTAAGAAGCCTCAAAAAACACCCAGACCTTCAACTTCTTTTTAAACTTAATCAATAGAATGACACACTTCTCACGCCATCCTTGCATCTTCTAAGAAAAACAAACAATAACCAAACAAAAAAAAAAAAAAAACAAACCAAATAACCAAAGAAAAAACAAACAAACAACCCACACAATTTTTATTTTTTTTTTTTAGTAAAAAAACGTTACTTAAAATAATTAACTGTCCTTGTATTGTTTGGGCATTTTTTCCTCTCAGTAACTCTAACTGAATTAGAGTACTTTGGCATCAATCACTTCCCTGACATACAACTACTGTCAATTTCAAAAACAAGTGAAATAAACTTCAATGGTGCATACTGCCAATCTAGTACTTTTTCCACTTGAATCTTCACATGCAGCTTTCTCAACTACTCTATCAGAAGTGTGAAGGCTTTGTTAAAGCACCCAAATTTAGATGACAGGGTATTTATTCAAGAACAGTTGTGAATTAAACCTCAATTTTGAATAGCCAAATATAAAATTACAGACCTTCAGCATGTATTTTCACTAAAAAAACCACTTCCCTGTTAATGAGAATGATTACACAGTCTTTGAGATCAGCAGAAGTCATATTATGAACACTGGGGGAATACACTGTTTTTCAAAGGCCTAAAGACAATTCAGATTTTAAAGTTTTCATTTGGCTTCTCTTTCCTTGGTTTAACATCTTAAATTCAAACGTTTAATAACATCCAATTCAGTCATTTTCAACCAGCTGCTAGAAAGAATATAAGTTTAATTAGTAAAAGTATCAGTCTGATGCTCACCAATCAGTTTCACTCTTCCTGAAGACAGCAATGTGGGATCGTCTTTTTTGACATTATTTATTGAGTCATCTACTAGTTCTTTGATATGATCAATTCCTACAACTTGTCCTTTGGGACCAACCTGGAATAAAAATACACAGTTGAACAATTTCTGCCAGTTTTACTTACAGAATGAGTACTTATACTTCCTGACCTCATTTCTCTAAAATAAAAACAAAAACAGAAAAGTGGAAGTATATTTTCCCAATGTTATTAAAACTGCTGTTAGAAATTACAAACCCTGACTGATAGAAACACCCGATAATTAAAAGTGTGTCTGCACAGTCTTATAAATATTGTGACAGTGATCCTTCTGAGATGTGATTCATTTGTATAATAATGTTAGTGGAGATTTCTTCTTGGAATTTTTAGAAATTAAATTTGATTATGTTTGTTTTGATTACCTGCAATAAAAAGTAACAATGTCAAAGACTAGAACTGATCTCCTTTCACACTGAACAAAACTTACTAAGGCTTACTTATTAAGGCTTTTCTAGAGAAGATCTTACTTCAAGGATTAAATCATGATTTTTACTCAAAATCATCTCAAGACTCCTTTCAGAAGCAAATGCTGCAATTACCAGTCAGGGGCAAATTACCTTCCACACTCATGAATATACTTTCAGATCATTCATGAATATACTTCAGATACATTTACAGCTCTCCTCCATAGGACGAGTAGAACTTCTGAGAGCTCTTAACTCAAAAAAGGTCACAAAATCTCTGTATTTGGAGAGGGGAAACAAGGGCTACTAACAAAAATGTCTCCATTACAGGTATTTCTTCCAGAATTTTGTCTTTAGTCCAGAAAAAAACATTCAAAACTAAATCTTCAAAAGTCTGACCACTTCTAACAGGATCCAGCTCGAAGAACAGAATAGTAAAGTACATCCTAGCAGCAGCCCATGTTGCCTAACAACTGTCTTAGGACACATCTGAACACATTGTTTATGTTTCTGTATCTTACATTTTAATATTGTTAAGGCATGGAAATTAGTAACTGGCTATCCTGGGAAATTTTTTTCTTGTTTTATTATGAACGAGTCCTATGTTAAAAGTATTAAACATGCAGAGTTAGCTTTTCTGGTTTGAGTGGAAAACCACCACCCCAGCCTTTGAAACAGGGCAAAACCTAATTTTCCCTATGACCATGGATTGCTGTTCAGAGGAACACCTGACAGTCAGCTGTACTATAAGCTGGCAAAAGATCCAGTGTATTCCAAACAGTAAATTCAGAGAAATGAAAATTTAGCAAAATGGTCAGAGCATGAAATAGCCAGATAAAGTAAGAGAATCTCCTGCTGCATATGACAGCCCATTATATTCTCATTATATTATATTAATATATAACCCTTATTTCTGAGTCCTCACCAATTACCTCTGTCTATTACCCTAGAACTGTGAAGCACATGCAATTGAGACAACAGAAAGATGGCACAGTTTTTGGGATCTCCATGTTAGGAAGAAAAATATAGCCAACTCTTTTCATAAATCCAGTACTGAGAAAATGAAAACTGTAATTCATTTAATTTGCCAGCAATCTTCAAAAGTAAATAAACTTAATTTTGCAACCCATGTAGATAAGTTTATCACAGAGGTTTAACATGAAAATTCAAACAATAATCTTAAAGATATTTTACTAGTCTAAGTAAACATAAAGCTTTCCCAGAGGTTCCACAAATGAGATTATTATCCTAAGAGTAAAGTTGTCATCTACGTGCACTGAGGCACCTGTGCCACAAATGTGAGCTACTAATTCTAGATCTCAAGTAGACGAAGAAGCAACATCCCCAACTGAATTTTGGTGGTAAAACACTACTCTACCATTAATTCCTATAATATATGTCCTTCAAGTTTTTGTTACTGTTAGCAATGCTATCAAGTAGAATGAAAGTATTTACTCCATTTTTCACGATACACGTCTGTAAGCCATTCCAATGCAAACCACCAAGGAGGATTCATAAGAGGCACATGACATTCATATGGCAATAAAAAGATAGAAGGATTAACTTCAGGAAATTTGGAAATAAATTTCCTTTTTGTGCTGATGATTCCGACTTCTCCACAGCTATTTTAGTAGAAAAAAGTGCACAACCACAATTTAGCACATCCTATTGGAAATGGCTATTCCTTTATGCATTCATAACTTCAGTGAGAAATAAGTACAGCCTGGACAAAAGTTTTAATGCTTGTAGGATTGGCGCTCCCATGCTAGCATTTCATTACTGACTTAGAGACCAAATACAATAGGCAGCAAGTTGAATTAAGTGCCATTTAAGATTTCCTCTAAACTGCAGTTTGGTTAACTTATTCAAACTACCTTTTTTTTTTATTTATTTTTTTAATTTTGTAGCTAACACTTAGAAACATAAATACTTTTGCAAGTTCATTGCCCAGTCCTAAACGTTCTCAGCTAATTCTTAACACAGGGAAACAGAAGTGATTGCAGACTCAGACTGGTGCTTGAAAATAGAAAACTAAGCAACAAAGAAACCTAAATGTGAAATTATCATATGTATCAATACCTTTCAAATTAACTTTGCAGAAAGACAAAACAAAAAATCTAGTTAGCAATTTAATGAAGGTCCCTACTAATCATAAAGCAATTATAAAGCTCCAGAACAGAGATAGGAACTGATTATATTCCTCTTCATGAATCAGTCTAACAATACAATTGCTACAGCCACTAAAACCTAGATTTTTTTCATCTTTTTTTTCCTGATGTAAGATAGGGAAGATGACAGAAAATTCCTTAGGTAGAGGTAGAATAACACAATTGAGATTAAGTAATTTGGAAAGGATGTAAAATTTGAATTCATATCCAACTTATAAAAAGTTAAATGGACTCATAGTAATGCTTGTGCAATATAACAAGAAAAGAAAGCAATTAAATTCAATAACAATTTATATATATATATATCTACACAAGATATTTTCCTGTGGAAATAGGATTCTTTTACTCCTCACTAAGCTCTCATTGTAACAGGAATCCATGACAATTTATCACAATGAGAATATTCACAGCCACACAGGATAACAAAAATTGAACTATTCAAGACAGAAATCTTCTTCCTTCAAGATGTAAAGCAACAACTAAAATTCAATCATTAAAAAAACCCCAAAAATATCCAAAAACCCTAAACTTCCCTGCTAGGCAGTTTCTTTACCATTATACCATTTATTGGACCATTTAAGTTAAACATCTACTATCAGCTACCGTAAGAAATGGCTATCAATCACACCCAGGAGAGTAAATTATTTTCTGTATACTATACTTCAGTCCATTACAAAGGATGCTTTTTTTTGCCCTGTAATTCCTCAAGTTACACGTGAGTTCAAGCAGTTCTGATGATCAAGTGATTAAACGAAGTAACTCACCATTCGCGAAAAGCATGCTGTAAGAATTCCACTTCCAGATCCTACATCAAGTGCTTTGGCTCCTTCATGTAACTGATCAGACAGAAGTTCAAGTGCATATGCATGCTAAGAGAAGACAGAGAGAAAATTTCAAATTATTTTAAGTGTATATTTGTTTTACTCAATATCTATTAATTTCTTCCGAGATTTTTGGGAAATACCCTGAGCATTTTGTGTAAGGAATTTCAGAATAATTTCTATTACAAAAAATGGGGGGTTCATTAGCTTCAACAAAGTTCATGAGTGTATTTTTTTTTTTGTTAGCATCCATATACAAAGCCTCATTTGACCATTCAAGCTTCTAGCACAAACTCGATTTATATGTTAGGAAATATACTGTAAATCAGTTTATTTCTCCTCAGGTATGGTGAGTTTTACTATTCTAGCAGTATATAGTCAATAAAGAATTTTGTTTATCATTATCCAATATGCATTGTAATAAGCTGGTACAAAAGCTAGCTAGGAATAAGGCAGCTCTAGAGCATCAAGGAAAATAACTATTAGAACTACCTCCTGTATTACCTGCACACTTGTTGAATCAAAGAATAAGAAAAAAAAGCTGTCTCTTACAAAGGCAGATAGCCAGGCTGACATATGAAATGCAGTGGTCTACAGACACATTTGACCACTTTTGCTTTGCTACATGGTGGACCAGTACACAAACTAAGTTTGGGCTGCACACTAAAAAACCAATTTTCATGTTTCATAGATAGCCATTACAACACTAATTCAGCTTAATCCATCCCACCCAGAAAACAGGGATAATTAGAATATTCTCTTTTAGAATATTTCTAGTTCATATTTGCTTAGAGGATATATTACCTTTTTGCTCTAACACTTCATATACTACTAGTGCTAAGCATTGGAAAAATAATGACTTAAGGGATTTAAAATTCTGAAGCGTATTTAATACTTAGCAACAGTACTTTTTTCTGTTTTTTCTTGAATAATATCATTAACATGTCTGTACAAAATTCCTGATTTTTTATATTGATAACTAGGTAAATTCTAAGCCAACTAACTACACAGCTTTTAGTCAAGAGAAGCAGATTTTTACTATGTTATGACACTTTCCAAACATCACAAAGACAAAATACATGCTTCTATTCACCTTCTATCTCAAATAAAGAAACATAGAAAAATTGTATCTGGGTTAGATGTATGCACTGAAATCCCAACTGGAACACTCACTCTGGTCTCAAACCACCTGGCAAAAAAATCTGTAACTCAGTACAATGTATCTTTTTTCCTGTCCAAAGATTTAAAGGCATCACAGCAGTACCATACTATAGGCATCACTGTCATTCACTCCACAATTCTTATGATTTTATAAATTACAGAGTAATTTACAATGGAAAGATCTTTTGGAATTTTCTGGTCCAGTCCTCTTTCAATACATAGGCATTTTAAATTAGGCTGCTTAGAACTCTGTTCAGTCAGCTCCTTTGTATATCAAAGAACAGAATTTCCACAAGCTGCAAAGCCTGTTTAAGTGCCTAGCTACCCTCAAAGTTTTTTTTTAACTGTAGAAACTTATCAGAATTTCCTATGTTGCATTTTTTTGCCCACTACCCCTCATCCTATTATTGAGTATCTGCAAGAAAAATCTTGACCTATCTTTTCTACTTCCTCCCAGTAGGCAGTTCACAAAAGTGTCACTGCAATCAACTGCTCATTAAATTTACTGTGGTAAATATTTTATTTCAAAAGCACGTGGACGTTTATAAAATCACTATACTAAGCACCTAGATTTAAAGCTTACCATATGTGGAGCACTGATTGTTGCTTGGAAACCTGCAAAACAAGAGAATGGGAGATGTTCATTGCTGCTCAGACAGTCACCTTAAAATCTTTATTACCTTGACTGTAAAGTGCAACACCTTCACTGTCACCCTCATTCAGGGTACAACATCCACACCCCAGCAGTTACGCAGTGCTCAACATCAGAACTGAGTTATGGTACACCAGCTGAAAATTATGCTGTGTCAACTCTGGACAGAAAAAAAAAAAAGGTTTTATCCCTGATCTCAGTTAAAATCTCCATTTTGTCACTATACATTGAATGAATATCACATATTGAGCAAGTAGGTTTACTTCAGAAGAGTAATGTCTACCAGAATAATGTAATTCCTTTTCCAGTTTTCCCATATGTGTAAACATGAATTTGTTAGTTTGAATTTCATGTAGTGGCAACAGGAAATGGCAAATAGAACATCTGGAGAACAACTTCATTTTGTATTTTGCAAACAACAAGTGAGAACAAATACTTTTAAGAATGGGAGGAACACTCACCTATATTTGTTTTTGTAAAGATACACAAGTCTTTGAATAAGTATCTTAAAATATTTTTAAGTTTTCCTAAAGAACTAATAAAATCCTAATAAAATTCACTCACCATGTACTATTAAAGGCAGGGAGAAGATCAAGAAAAAGTAAATTAGTACATTTACACAGTTCATGCTCTTCTCTTGGAAAGATAAAACTGGGACCTGGATGGGGGACAAATGTCCTGGCAGTAGACCTTCCATTGAAAGTCTATTTTTAAAGATTTTACAAAAAGAAACTTTGTTTCTTTTTGTTTCATTTTTTGTTTCTGTGTTTGTTTGGTTTAAGAAACTTTGCATTGGTCCCAATTGAATAATTTCTGTAAAGATAGGGAATGTTTCTACCATAAACTGGTTGCAAATTATTTTTAAGTATTGCATCAACTGCACCATTGCAAGTTGCTGTGGTTTGAAAAAAAAAGCCCACATATTTACACATATTAATAGACTGAAAAACACCTCTCTACCTGATGTATCCAAATATGCCAACTATGCAAATATCCAAATATGCATTCTGCAAGAAACTGAAGGTTAGTTAAAAGGTATGCAATAAATTGATGAAGTAAACAACCTTCCAAATTAAAAAAAAAAAAAAATCATATTCTTAACACATAAATGACAAGAGCAGTTTAGACAGTTATACAAATGAAAACAAACACTTTTGCAAAATGCTCTTACCTATAGACTGTGGAGAGTCCATGTAAGGGTTGTATTTTGCATAGTGGCAGCGGTCTGTAGCCAGCATTACTCCTCATCATACAGGCCAAGGCAGGGGTTGGACTACACCATCTCTAAACATCCCTTCCAGCCCAAACCCTTCTGTGCTACTAAAATTAAATCTGGAGTCCAGAGATCATACAATGCTTAAGCCAGTGAAAGTTGAACAAGAGTTTCCCAGCAGTTACAAATGTTTTTCTGAAACCATTTGCAAAGATCTACCCCCTAGGAAAACTCCACTTCATGCACACCTTTGATAAATCCTGAAAATACAGTCAGTAAGAAATTAGTATTCCTATGCACACCAAACAAGATACACTTTATATTTCTAAGAAGCTATACAAATAATTATTGAAAAATATACAAAAGCGAGTTAGAAATGTGAAGTTGAAGCATTATTGCTCAACACTTTAGTTTCCAGATCTGTTTGTCTTGTGTTAGCAAAGAAAAAAAATCCTTTTGTAAAGGATTTTACAATGAATCTGAATTCTTATGCTGGGGCAGGCTGAGGCCAAAAGGTTTTTATACCAACGACTCTGAATCTTTTTTCACTTTTCAAAATAAAATATAAAAGTGCATGCATGTAAAATGTCAGAAGCAGCCAGTTCCTTGCTGTTTTGTTAAAGTTTTTTTAACATTAATAATTTTTTTATTTTTTTTTTAAGTTCTGAAGAGCCCATTAATGAATAACAGAAAACTTTGGAAAACAAATGGAAGAAATTAACTAATTACTTGCATTAAAAGACTATATAAACTAAAATAACTGACATTTCAATGAGAGATTGCTTCATTAACTACTTTCTTTAAATAGGGGTTTATTTGCAAAATTATATCTATAAAGAAAAAAAAAAAATCATTTGAGCACCACTCATATCTAACCCAAAACATGAAAATCAGATTATGGAACTTGTGTAAGATTATCCTGAAGCTGTACCAGTGGGTTTTTTTGAAGTACCACCAACAAAACACACCTGTGCCCAGGACTGGGCTAACTTCTGCAGAGACTTTCCTGACTCTTTACTGTGTGCTCCAAACTACACCTATTAATCATGGGATTTTCCTGTCTTTTTTTCTTATCTATTATCTGTGTCCAGAATTAATTATCCTCTATAACACAGACTTGAATTCAGAAAGGAAAATAACTCCTCAGATCATATTCCTTTTTGGTCTGAAGACAAAGTATCACATAGAACTGCTAAAGGAATATACTATTACTATGGAAAGTTTTAAAGAGAACAATTCCTTTTAAAAGAAATATTAATTTTTAGAAATATTCCTGTATCTGATAAGTCACAGAAAAAGCATACACTCCACTCACAGTCCCCACACATTGGACATATCCTGTTCTTTGACTTCATTTTGAACTGAATACTACAGCAGTCCCAGTTAGAGGAAACTCATTTCAATCCAAGGTTTTAAATCTGAGTCAGTAGGCATTTGCAGCAATTCATAAGTTTATCTACTGAGCAAAATTGTACCCAAAAGAAAACAAACAAATCAATCCATTAATACATTGGCACTAACAACAGAGAATAGTAAGGAGAAAAAAAAAGTTTTCCTTGACCACTAGAAATTAGTTGGATTAGTTGTATAGCAGTTCTGTGAACAAAGCACAGAAATTAAAAAAATCAAACATTTACTCTTAGAGTCTCATTAGGAATCACTAAGAAGTTAGTATCTCCAAAACAAATGTACTTTAAAGAAAGGAGAATAAGCAAGGCTGATTATAACAAAAGTGAGGCGATAAAGGCTCTAAGGGACTGAAGGGATGTCAAAAAATAGTAGCTGAGAAGCACTCACAAAAGGTCTAAAATAGTGATTTATTTCTTTACATGCAGAGAGGAGCCTATATTCTAGAACTATAGGTAGCCACCTGCTCTTTCTTTTTGTGCCTTGTGGAATAAACATGCAGACAACAAAAAGAACAAGCTTCTAGCTTGGAAGTGCAACTGCAGGGCCCTATGACAAGGCCAACACCCTTCGCTAACTTCACAAAACTTAACTCAGATCCAAGTTCACACAACTATCAAATAAGATGCTTACACTGACAGGCAAATTACAAAAACCCCCTGAAAATAAAAACTACTAATATTCTACAAATTTTGAGCATTCAGGGTGCTCTCATTCAGCAAACAATCATGAGATTTGCTGACTGTTGTCATCTTTTTCATCAGTAAATAATAATTGAAGAAAGTTACCAATATACAAGAGTCCCCAGCAGAATCTCTGGGAGAAGCTGAATCTGCTATCAGCCATTTATTTCAATTACTGAATAACGCTCCATTCTCATAAAAAAAAACCAACACAGTCTCAGCTATCCCCCATAGATTAAGTCTGCTTTTCAAATTTGCTTATTATATGATGGAACAACATCAAATTTTAGGTGGGAATTCAGAAAAACAATCAAGCCCTAAACAGGAAGGTCAATATTGACTTAGTTGTAATTTTTATTGTGTTGATAAAAATAAGATTTTTTTTTCATAGTCTCACAGCTGAATATAGAGAAACATAGCAACTGTTAGGTACTAAACTCCAAAAAAGTTCTTTCATTCCTGCAACAGTCAGTCCCAAGATGACCAGCTGCCAAGATCTTAATTCTATCTGAAACGTGTCTTTGTCAAATTCTCAATTAAGTCCAGAAAACAGGTATATCCCCTAAAGAAGCCAGTAATAGAAGCTTATATTTCAAAGAAGACATTCTAATTTCATGCAGTCTCTACCAAAAACCAAATCAACAATAAATCAACAAATCAAAACAATCAACAATAAATTAACTATTAATAAAATGCTAATTAAAAACATTTTCTAAATCTTAAAACGAATCTGTATATTGCAAGAAAATAATTCACAATTAATGTATAGTAGAATATCCTTTCCAATTCTAATGTGCAGAGAAAACTCTCCTTGAGGAAACTGTTTGGTTTCAAGACCGATAATCAGTTTGTACTGCAAACAAATCAGATATTAAAATGTTTACAAGCAAAGGATACAAACACACTGACAGCTTGAAATAAAAAGTAAACTCAAATAAAACAGAGTTATATCAGCACAACTTCCAAGCTTCAAAGGGCTGAAGCCGAAAAGTAAGTACTTAACAGTGGAGCACTGCCTGCCAAGTTCAAGAGTTACTCTGCACAGAGGCTGTGGCAATGACAACTTGACATAATTGGAGCATGTTTTGAAAACTCTCTCTGGTCTGCCTCTTTTCCACAAATAACACCATGAAAACAGGAAAAGAGCTCAGAGAAGTCCTTGGACTTGAAGGTGGGAATATACCACGGTTGAACGTAACCTGGGAAACTGGGCAGTTGGCTGTCAGAGAGCAAGGCAAGAAGAGTCTGAAAAGGCACCATGGACTTGCAACAAGTAAACAACCTATCTTTTTATTTTGTCTTTTATTTAGCAACAAATGCACTACTGAAGTACTTTTATTTCAAAGAATTGCCTGCCTCACTGACGGTATCCTGACTGTTGATCAAACACGTTTCTAACCAAACCATAAAATACTAGCAGTCAACATTTACACCAACACTGGCTTCCAGATCAGAAAAGAGGATGTGTCATTGCCACATGATCCAGCACACAAGCTTACTATACAAACCGTAACACCTACTCAAACTCCTCCTGTGGCTGACTTTTTACGTATTAAAAAAATGCTCTTGCAGATCTGAAAACCATTTACTACTGTGTAACTACTTCAGCATCTACATAGTTCAGTTTCTTAGATTATTTTCTCCATAACCACTACAGAATACCTCACTTAGGAAAACAAATTTTCAGCAAAACAGTGGTATTTTAAAATCATACAGAGGTCTGAAGGCATGATGCAAAGCACATATGGCTTTACGTTACAGAAGATTCATTCATGTAGATTAAAATTACTGATGTGAGAAATCATAGAATGGTTTGGGTTAGAAGAAACCAAAGGTTTCTTCTTACAGCTCAACTAGTTCCTTCCTTGGAGCCCTGTGTTGGGGGCCTCAGGGCTGGCTGCAGCACTCCAGGTGGGGTCTCACCAGAGCAGAGTAGAGGGGCAGAATTGCCTTCCTTGCCCTGCTGGCAAGGAAGTCGCTTTTGATGCAGGACAGTTTGCTCTCCAAAAACATACAGTGGGTGCAATTTCTGTCCTGATCCCACTGTCAATGTCAACAACAAAGATGTTAAACAACACCAGTCCAAGTGCCAACCCCTGAGGAACACCAGTAGTCACGGTCTAGACTTGAACATGGAGCTTTTGACCACAACTCTTTTGAATGCTACCACCCAGCCTTACCTATCAAATGGTCCATCTGTCTAATACATGCCTCTCACTTTTAAAGACATGGATCTAGTGCAGGACAGTGTCAAATGACTGTTTCCACCTGACCTAAGCAAACCAGCTAGCAGCTTTCCAGAGGAGAATGGGCTGGAACAGAACCACATCCTGATTTGCAAGCAATGTGAAAATTGTTGATTTTAAGCACCTGATCAACTGACATTTTTAAAGTCAGTGTCTTTTTGTTTGAGCAGAGGAAGAAAAAAGATGGGAAAGAATGTGGTTCAGTTAATAGAATTTTATTTAAGTAATGAGCACAGGAAGACTTCACTGCAAAGCATGAACACAAAGAAAGCATTTAAAACAAGAAGTAGTGCATCAGCACCCGAAGATCCAATAACAGACACTGACCCAAAACATACAAAGCTCTTCGTGCTAAAGAAATTGAAATTAGGTGTTTGAAAACAAGTGTTTCTTATACCGCTCATATATGTAAACTTGTTGTGCTTTGATGATTATTTAAGAGCTATCTGCCTCAAACATTGAGCTGCCCATCTATTGTCACCGTGATTTGAATTCACAATATCCAAACATATTCCAAACAGGATGTTGCAAACAGCTCATTGGAAGGAATCACTTGAGAGTCAATTGTTCAGAGACAAGACGACAGAAAGACTGAGGAAAGCAAGAGTCCATCAGAGCTCATCTTAACAGTCCAGGAATGAAACACAAATACCAAGCCCCATGAAAATTCTGAAGAAACTAAAAATAATGGGAATAATAATAAT